CCGGGGGATCCCACCGCCCTCTCGGGGCTCCCGTCGCCTCGCCGTGAAAAGGGGGATGTTCGGTCCGGAGGGATCGGGTCCTCGGAGCCAAATTAAATGTCCAGAGTCTACGGCTCCGGCCCCTGGGGCGGCCGGGTCCTCCCTGCTCCTTCTACGGCTGCATGTGGCAGCCTGGCCGACTGCCCGTTCCAGCCCAGCCCAACCGAGAATTCACTGCGTGACCCTGGCAGTTCCATTCATTCCTTCATTCGTCCATTCACTCACTCACTCAGCAGATGTTTAGTGAGGGCTGACTGTGTGCTGGCTGCTGTTTTGGGTACCCGGGACCCTTCCATGGAGGCAGGAATCGAAGAAACAAGCCAAATGCACGTGTGGGAAGGCAGAGCGGCTCCGGAGGAAGAGGCAGCGAGGCAGTGGGAGGGCGGGTGTAGGCAGGAGCACCGTTCCCGGAACAGTCACAGACCTGCCACAGGAAAGACCTCCCTGAGGAGACATTTGGGAATGCGGAGCTGGAAGGGGCAGAGTGGGAGAAGCACCCCGCAGGAAGGGGCAGCCAGGGCAGAGGGAGGCTGCGGGAACAGCAGGGTCACGTGGCTGGAACAGCATGAGCGAAGGGGAGAGGGGCAGGAGCCCAGGTGAGCAGGCGGGAGTGGGGGCAGACGGTGGGGGCTTCCGCTCTGAGACGGGCCACCCCCGTGGGGCACGCAGAGCGGCGACATGGCCGGCGCTCTGGGGGTGACGCTGAGAAGAGATACTTAGTCTCTCCGTGCCTCGGTTTCCCCGGCTGTGAAACGGGGACAGTATCCTCCGAGGGCCTCCGGAGATGGCTGTGCTTGGGCAGTGCCGGGGTGGCCGCTCTCCAGAGGGGGGCCACACGCCCCCGAGGGGGAAGGGCACGGGGTCGCAGCACACCGGGCCGTCTGGGGGAGCTTGGACCGGGACCCCGCCTCCTCCCGGCCCGCACCTGCACCTGGCCGGCGATGCTGAGCCTGGCGGAGGAGGCCGACCCTGACCCTGTTCCGAAGCAGATCCGCCACCTGAGAGAGAGGGGCATGGAGTTCCTGGACGTGCCGGCCACGTACTACAGACAGCTGCGGGAGAAGCTCAAGTCGGCCAAGATCCGGGTGAAGGAGAGCTTGGACACCCTGGAGGTGAGGCACGCAGACACGGCGGGAAGCCAGACCAGGCCCCCGCCGGCAGGGGACAGGCACACAGCACGAACACCAGCAGAGCGCGAGGGAGTCGGTGCCGTTCGGAAAGCGAGAACAGCCCATGACGGAGCATGACCTGGGGCCGCGTCACAGGAGGTGGTCGGGGAAAGCCTCTCGGAGGACCTGGCGTTTCCAGGGCAGAGAGCAGTCCTGGCAGAGGGAACAGCAGTGCAAAGGCCCTGAGGCAGGAGCTAGCCCAGTGCCTGAGGAGCAGAAAGACTAGAGTGCATGAAAGGACGAATGGCCTAGGTCACAGGGGTAGGCTATTTAGGACTTTGCTCTTTGTTCTTCTGTGGCCGAAAGTCATAGTAGCTTTTTTTTTTTTTTTTTTTGGGGGGGGGGTTCTGATCATTTTAGTAATATACTAGAGGCCCAGTGCATGAAATTCATACACGGGTAGCTGCCGGCTGGGGCCTCCCTTTGCACCCGCCTTGGCCTGGCACCCAAGGCACCACCAGTTCACCGGCTCCACCATCCTGCCATGGTCAGTTCTGGTAGGTCCTATTTTGGGAGTGTGGGGGCCCCCATCCTGGCAGTGCCGGGTCTCAGACGCTGGCCATGTTCTGCATCGCCCTCTGGTGGCCAGTGCACGTCTAACTCCCTGTATGTCGGAAAGATGGATTTTTTAAAGAGGCAAAAGCAGAAGCAGGGAGAACTCTGGGGAAGCTACTAGGTGGTCCAGGCCAGCCATGATACAATTGGGGAATCTCTTTAATTTTTACTTATTTATTTTGAGAGGGTCTGTTTGGAGCTGTCTGGAGCTGTTGGAGACACAGGTCTTTTCTTGGCTTGGGGGGTGCAGGAGCCCCTTCCTATATAAACTTTGTAAGGAATCCGGGGTGCCAGGCTCGGCAGGTGGTGGGCCTCCCCATGACCCCGCCCTCTCCTTCCAACCTAGGAGCTGAAAATCCTGGTGGACTACGACGAGAACGGCTACCTCCTGCAGATCTTCACCAAGCCCATGCAGGACCGGCCCACGCTCTTCCTGGAGGTCATTCAGCGCCACAACCACCAGGTGGGCGGCACCTGTCCCCCAGCCAGCCCGAGGGGGGGCATGCAGGTGAGCATGGCTGGCTTCTTGGACTCACAACTCACCTCCCCTCTCCTGCTGCAGGGCTTCGGAGCCGGCAACTTCAATGCACTGTTCAAGGCTTTCGAGGAGGAGCAGAACTTGCGGGGCAACCTCACAGACATGGAGACCAACGGCGTGGTCCGCGGCATGTAGACCCGCCCCCGCGAGTCCCGCCGGACCCGCCGAGGCCCCGCCCACCGGCCTGCGCACGGCGGGCCACGCCCCCTAGCCCTGGAACCCGCCCACCCGCATCTCTGAACAGCAAGCCCTTCTCTGATTGGCCATTCCCTCTAGATCCCGCCCACCAGCTCGTTGGGATTTCCGCCCCAAGGTCCCGCCCACCTCCTGACCACGCCCCCTCGGCCCAGGGCAATAAAGCGGACGGGGATCCGATGCGGTGTCTCGGTGTCTGTGTGGGAGGCTGGGGCAGTAGCGCCGTGTGGCCGCCAGGGGGCAGCAGCGCTGCAGGAGGCGTCCGGGTTAGGGGTCGGGTGCCCCCCAGCGGGATCGGAGGGAGGCGCCAGGTGCAAGTGCTTTGCTAACAGGACCGCGCGGTCGGTCGTGGGGAACCCTGGAACCGGGGAGCAGAGGGCTCACACTCTAGAAGGGAAGACAGTATCGTCTGCTGAAGGGATAAATGCTATCAAGAAAATAAGGCAGCCAGAATCGGTTTGGCTCAGTGGGTAGAGCGTCAGCCTGCGGACTGAAGGGTCCCAGGTTCGATTCCTGTCAAGGGCATGTACCTTGGTTGCGTGCACATCCCCAGTAAAGGAGCATGCAAGAGGCATCTGATGGATGATTCTCTCTCATCGATGTTTCTAACTCTTTATCCCTCTCCCACAATAAAATATATTTTTTAAAAAATAAAATAAAATAAAGCAGGGCCCGGCCAGCATGGCTCAGTGATTGAATGTAGACCTATGAACCAGGAGGTGGGGGTTCCATTCCCTGTGTGGGGTGTGCAGGAGGAAGCCCATCGATGATTCTCTCTCATAGATGCTTCCAACTCTCCCTCTCCCCTCCTCTCTGAAATCAATAAAAATATAATTAAAAATAAAAAGCAAGCGGGTGGCGTGGAGGTGGAACTGGAGGGGGGAGATTAATTTTCCATCAAGGGTGACATTTGAGGGCCAGCGCAGGAAAATGTGGAAAAACAGCATCCCCAGAAGAGGGAACAGCAAGAGTGAAGGTCAGAGGTGGACCCACCGCCCCTGGCAGCCTTCCCCTGCCTGGCGGCTTTCTGATCTCTAAAGAGGAGCCCAAACTCCTGGGCACGGAGAGGGGAGGGTGTCAGCAAAGGGACTTTGGGGGAGCATTCTGGCTCTGCGACCATGGGACACGGTGTCTGGCTCTGAGAGGGAGGACAGGGAGGAGGGGTCTGAGCCCCCCTCCCTCAGTGCAGCTCCAGTCCCCCACAGCCTCGCTAGTTCATGCTCAAGTGTGAATGACTACTTGCAAAAGAATGACGCAGTTGGGAGAGGAGCTACTTACTAGTCCTAAAGCTCTTGGAAGGACATTTTTCTTCAAAATCAGACACTCAACCCATTGAGCCACACTGGCTGGGTTCTAAAGTAAATTAAAAAAAAAATGGGTGGTGGGCAAGTGGGCAGGGAGAGATCAATGGGGAGGGAGAGGGGGAGACATATGTAATACTTTCAACAATAATTTAAATAAATAAAGATCTCGTGGGTCCCCCCCGTCACCTCACCACAGGACCGGGCAGAGTGAGACCTATCTGGAATACCACAAACACCGCCTGTATTTCACTCTTCTCCACCTGCTTAATCCATCCCCTCTCTCCTTACTACTGTCTCCTTAAATGTCCAACGTTTTTGAGTTCTAGTCATGGCAGCAGGATATTGAATCCACCTTCCTTAACTGCAGACTATTAGCAGTGTTAGATCCCCAAGGTTTTAAGAAAGGTGCTGGACGGAAAACTATAAAAAGCTGTGGCTTGCCAGGCTAGTGTAGCTCAGTGGTTGAGTGTTGACCTATGAACCAGGTCACAGTTCGATTCCTGGTCGGGGCACAGGCCTGGGTTTGTGGGCTCGATGCCCAGCGTGGGGTGTGCCGGAGGCAGCTGATCAGTGATTCTCTCTCATCACTGATGTTTCTCTCTAAATATATTTTAAAAAGCTGTGACTCAGTTTAAGATCTCCTTCTGCCCTTGGCACAGCCAGCCCGCCCTCCACAGGGGCGGGGTGTGCCCCCAAAAGAAAGCAGAGAAAGGAGGGAGAGGAGAGCAAGAGAGACGGCGTATCTGTAAGAAAAGTCAGTATATTTATGGTTTGCTTTATAAAAGTTACTATAATACAATGGTACATAGTATTGAATTCACAAAAATATGAACAAATATTTACAGCAAGACACACCCACAACGGAAACACTTCTCTTCAAAACAAGATCCATACGGAGAGAGCCTAGAAGCACAAACACCCCTAAAAGGCGAGGGTCCTTTTCTTTGCGGGAAGGGGGGGAGGGGAGGGGAGGGAAGCAGGTTGGGGAGGGGCAGGGAAGGGGCGGGATCAGAAGCCCCCAACACTTCCAAAGCAAAGATTTGTTCAATGAGAAGGAAGGCGTTGAAAGAAAAACCAGCCGATCCATTTCTGGACGTGACAAACCAATCCGGGGGCGGGGGTTCCTGGGGACATCTCGGGTGGGGTGGGGGGGAGGCCAGGTCTCCCCACATTCCCCTCCATTTCCTCTATTGGGGGGCGGGGGGGGGGAGGAGAGAACAAAGACAGCCCCTTGGGGGCTGCACACGTAACTGAAATCAGCCGTCTCTACAAGCTACACGTTTCCTTGTGTGAAAAATAAATATTTCCTCGGTCGCACAATTAGGCAGAAAACCGCAAATGGGAGAGAAGGTCGCCGCTGTGCCCAGGGCCCCCCCTGCGTCTCAGCGCGCGGCCTCAGTGAGGCCGGGCGGCGGGCACAGTCTCAAACAGAGAGGGCTGGGGTGAAGAAACCGAAAGAAAGAAAAAAACACAACAAAATCACCAACGACAAAAAAAAAAAAAAAAAAAGAGAAAAATAACAATTCTTTGTACAGAATTTACATGATAACAAGCTTGACACAAGCCGAGATACCAGAGGCCCCTGCGGGCGGGAGGCCGAGTCCTGGTCACGTCCCGTCAGTTACGCACACGCCTGTCCTGTTCTGCGTCCGGGGGGGGCGGGACCTGGGTGATTTTTTTTGTTTTTTTTTGTGTTGGTTTTTTTTTTTTTTTGGAAGTACAAAGAAATCAGAAAAAAAAAAAAATAAGTCTTCCCACGTGTTTCTACAAGAAACAATGTTCCCGAGAAAAAGTCCTTTCTGGCAGCCTAGCTATTTACACAGAAGTGGGGTCTGAGCTTCACACACCTCCTTCCCCTTTCGCTGGATTCTACACGCGCATGAGAACCAAGCCCGTGGACTCGAACCCTGCAGAAGGGGGTGGGATGGGGGGTGGGAAGTGGGAGTGGGGAAGGAGGGGCTAAGAAAAAAAAAAAAAGAAAAAGAAAAGAAAACCTTGTCAGGTCTAGATCTGAATTCTGAAATCTTTCCGAGATCTTCCTTTTCTCTGGGAGAAAGCGTCTCACCCTGGAAATAAATATGCGCTTGATGTCTTAGGGAGAGTGCGGGCTGGGAGCGAACAGGGGACGCTTATAAACGAAAAAGTCCACGTGCATCTCGGTCAGACGCCCGGTCAGATGCCTGCAGCGGCCAGACGGGCCCCGCCTGCCCCGGGCGGCCCTCCTCGGGCCCGTGACGCCGGGCCCTCCTGCTGGGCCCCTCGTTGCTGGCATTCGAAGGAGAAAGTAAACACTGAACCCAGACTTGGGGTGGCAGAGAGCCTGGGGGGGATTTCTGAGTGGGACGTGGCCCCCTGGCTGCCGGGGGAAGGACAGACGGGGTGCGGTCTGTAGCTTCTTCTCACGGAGTCCGTGGGTGGAGGGCGGGCCTTCCATAGTGTTCTGAGGTCAGAGCCGCCGGCAGTCCCTCCTGTGCGTGAGCAGCACCCGGCGTGGCGCCCGGCCCGGCGCCCGGCCCGGCGCCCGGCTGCTGGACGGTCAGCGCCCCGGCCCACGGCGGCCTCTGCAGCCCCTGCCGGGGTCCCCGCTCCCCGAGTCTGCCTTCACATTTCAACGGTTAAAATGTCTTTTCGTGTGACAAGAAAGAAAATAAAGGGAAGACAAAAAACAAAAAAACAAAAAGACGACGACGTAGCAGCATTCACGGAAAGAGGCTGATGACAAACCACAACGGGAAAGAGGCAGGAGAGAGAGAGAGACGGAGCCGGGGAGAGCGACGCAGAACGGAGGCATTCACGTGGCGTCGGACACGCGTCCGCGAGGGACACGCGGGCGGGCGGGCGGGCGGACGGACGGACGGACGGAGAAGCCCTTTCCCGCCGAGGGCCGGAGCCGGGCCTGGGGTAGTGTTGGGGCGCCAGGCCCTGCCGTGGCCGCTGGGTAGAGGACAGCACCTGAAATGGGGCGGGGGCCGGCCCGGGCCGGGCTAGTTGAGGGTCCCCCGGCAGTTCTCGGAGTTGCAGAGGCAGGGGATCTTGACGTCCTCGATGGGGAACTTGTAGTCGTAGGTGATCTCCTCGTTGACGTTGATGTGCTGCTTGGAGTAGATGACGATCTTCTTCTGCGACTCCACCGTGATCACCTTGGCGTAGCAGTTGGGCTGCGGGCCGGCGGGAGGGGGGGGGGGGACGGTGAGCAGAGGACCCGGGCAGCCCTCTACCCCCAGGGCCCCCGCGGAGCCCCGTGCCCGCCCCACGCCCGCCCCATGCCCCCATGCCCACGCCACCTGCCCTGGGCCTCAGCTCCCCGCAGCCTGGCCTCTGTTATTAGATAATGACAATGGCGACAATCGTCAGTTATTTCCCCGGGGCTTCCGTTTCTATTTGCAACGCAGGGACTCCCCGTTTGTATCTGTAGCCCAGCCTCACGGCAAACTCCGGCCCCCAGCTGCCCCCGTTTCAGCAAATAAAGTTTTGTCGGCACACAGCCGCACCCATTGCATAAGTTCCTTTTGTTACAGTGGCGGTGAAGCAGTTGCTAAGAGATGGTCTGAGCCACCAAGCCAAAAATATCTACGGCCCGGCGGGCCTGGCGCAGTGGTTGAGTGTCAACCTATGAACCAGGAGGTCAGGGTTCGATTCCCAGTCGGGGCACGTGCCCGATTGCGGGCTCCATCCCCAGGTGGGGGGCGTGCAGGAGGCAGCTGATCAATGATGCTCATGGGTGATGTTTCAATAGCTCCCTCTCCCTTCCTCTCTGAGATCAATAAAATATATATATAATCACCAATGACAGTAAAAGTTGGCCGGCCCCTGCTCCAGACCCAGAAACCCTAAGAGTGCCCGGTGTCTGCCTGTGGCAGCTCCAGCAGACACCTCTGGGGAGCGCTGCACCATGCACGCAGGTCCCCCAAGCCTCCACCTCCTACCACCACCACCCCCGCCCCCCCCCCCCCCCTGGCCCAGCAAGGCCAGATCTGCCCACACCTGGCTGGGGTCTGTCTCCGAAAGCCCGCCTCTTCCTGTTGGCTGCTTCCCACGCGGGCCAGGAGCCGCGGCCAGAGCCCGTCACCACCCCCCCGACTGCCGCTGCCTCCGCTCTGAGGAAGTCTGCCCTGAGCCGCAGCCAGGACCTCCCCCCACAGGGCAGCACACACGCCACCCGTGACCCCACACCTCCCAGCGGCCTGCCTCAGCTCTGAGAGACCCCGTCAGCTCTGCCTGCCGGGCTGTGACCGCCCCCCCAACCTGCCAGCCTCGGCTCTCACCCTGCTCAACCCCCACAGCCCCCAGCTGCCCCCAAACAGGCGTTCTCCCCCTGCCCCGGCACCACCTGTCCCGGGCGATCCCCTCCTCCCCGCAGCCCTCACAGGAGAGTCCCCGGAAAGTCAGCTAACGCTCCGGTCACCACCCCGAGGGAGGCAGCAGGGCCGAGAGGCCGGCCAGCACACTCAGCAGGCCCGCACGCAGGACACACTGGGCCCCCAACCCCTGCCAGGAGGACCTGCCCCGTTCCCGTTTACAGATCAGGACGTGGAGGCGCTGAGACACTCTGTGAGTAGCTTATGGTCACGGGCTAAGCAGTGACATCAAGACCTGAAACCGGAGTGAGGGGTGTTCTCCTGCTCCAAGCCCCCCGTGCTTTTTATTTATTTACCTGCTTATTTTTATTTATTTCAGAGCGGAAGGGGGAGGGAGGTAGGGAGGGAGAGAATCATCGATCGGCTGCCTCCTGCACACCCCTTACTGGGGATCGAGCCCGCAAGTAGGCCATGTGCCCAGACTGGGAACCGAACAGCGACCTCCTGGTTCAGAGGTCGACGCTCAGCCACTGGCCCACACCAGCCAGGCGGCCCGGGCCTGTTTTCAGAGTGAGAAACACCTCTCCAGGACACCTGCCCGCCCCAGACCTGCGAGGCCCACCGGGGGGTCACCAGCCATAGGTGAGGCGTCTCAGTTCAAACTCTTAAGAACAGAGTTAAAACTCAGCTCCTCAGTCACTCACTCCAACCACAGGTTGGCGCTCAGTCCTGCACAGGGCGGGCCCGTGTCCTCGGACAGCACGGACCCAGCATTTTCCCCGCACCGCCCGGACCGGGCCCCACCGTGCCCTGTGCCCACTGCGCAGATGGGAAGACTGAGGCTCAGAGGAGCACGGCTCCCTGCTGGCGGGCCCCCCCCCCCCCGCCCCGCCCGGGGCACTCACGTTGCAGCTGTGGTTGATGAAGCGCGCAAAGTTGCCGCACTTGGTGGCGTCGATGATGGTGTCGTGGTCCACCCGGAACATGTAGCTGCTCCCGATGCCCTCGTCCTCGTAGCGCTTCTCCCGCATGTCGGCGATCACCTGGCAGGAGAGCCTCTTAGGGCTGGCCGCCCCGGCCCCCCCCACGCCCGGCCGCCCGGCCTCGGGGCAGCGCCCGCCCGCCCGCCTACCTGGCGGATGTTCTGGCCCACGTACTCGATGACCATCTCGTCGGCCGCGATGGGCTCCATGGCGAACAGGCCCCAGTCGTGGATGTGGCTCTTGCAGAACTTGAGCTTTTTCTTCCGGAACTGAGGGCGGGAGGGGGGAGGGAGGGGTGAGAGGGCGGGAGAGGGCGGGAGGGGGGAGGGAGGGGTGAGAGGGCGGGAGAGGGCGGGAGGGGGGAGGGAGGGTCGAGAGGGCGGGAGGGGGGAGGCGGGAGGGGGGAGGGAGGGGGGAGAGGGCGGGAGGGGGGAGGGAGGGTCGAGAGGGCGGGAGGGGGGAGGGAGGGGCGAGAGGGCGGGAGGGGGGAGAGTCCGGGTCTGGGCCGTGCCGCCCGGCTGCCCGGCCCGGCCTCACCTTGAGCTGGTTGAACTTGAGCAGGTCACTGTCGCAGCTGCCGGTGAAGGAGGACAGCAGGCGGCGCTGCTCGGACCGGCGCTCGGAGCCGGCCCGGGTGGAGGCGTGCGGCTGCGCCGGGATGCTCATGCCCTGCGAGGGGCGGAGGTCAGAGGTCAGGAAAGGGGACCCGCCCACCCTGGCGCCCGTGTCCCCATCACCTCCCTGATGAGCTCACCCTAACTCTGGGTCCCTGCCACCCCACTTCCTCCCTCTGGCTTCTGTGCCTCCTTCCTGACAGACTCAGCGTGCCCTCCACTCCTCCGTCCTTCCCGGCTCAGCGGGGGGCCCTGGGACACCCCGCTTCTCCGCTGCAAGACGGCGGGTGTGTTTCCTCCAACCCCCGTGGCTCCCACCACGGCCCCTCACAGCTGCCCCGAAACTCGCAATCACAGCTCCTGCGGTCACACCCTCAAACCCCGTCCTCCTGGCCGCCCTCACCCTCCGGCCAGCTCCTCGCACCCGAAGCCGCACCCTCCCCCCATGCAGCGCTGGCCCGCGGTCAGAACTCCACAGGCGCTGGTGATGCCCAAGTGCAGGTGCCACCCCCTCCCTCCTCAGCGCTGGGCGCCGGCTCCCAGGCCAGGCCCACCCGTTCCCTTGTCTCTCCCGCCCAACCCACTCCACTTCCAACATCCTAACATTCCTGCCGTTCCCTCACTGGTGTCCACGTTACCCCCACAGCCACCCGAGCCCGACCCCTGCATGTCCGACGTCAGCCTTCCCCCGGCGGCCGGTGTGAGCGAGAGATCACGGGCTGAGCCGCCCCGCCCGCCCTCTCCAACCTTCCTGTGGCTCGTCCCATACGGAATGCAAATCCTCGTCCTCCCGCAGCCTCTCCGGCGACACCTGGCCTGGCCCTTCCTTCCCGCCCAGCCCCAGCCTGCCGCAGCCAGTCCTCCCCACACGGGACCCTCTCTGCTCAGCTCCTTACGGAGGCTTTCCTCTGCTTCTCGGCGGCCCCTCCCCGTTACCCACGGGCCCGTTTCTCCACCTCATTCAGGTCTGGCTCAGGTGTCACCTTCTCTGGCCCCGTCGCGCCAACCCCCGGCCTCCGCCTGGCACCCCATTAGCTCACTGACGGCCTATCCCCCCCAGGGCGTAAGGGCCACGAGGAAAAGGACGTCGTTCTGTTCGCTGTCCTGTAGCCCAGGACGGCGCCTGAACACAGCGAGAGCTCCGCAGGTATTCGCTTCATTGGAAAAAGGAATGGCCGGGCCGGGTGGCTGCTCAGTGGCTGAGCATCAACCTATGAGCCAGGAGGTCACGGTTTGATTCCCGGTCAGGGCACAGGCCCGGGCTGCGGGCTCCATTCTCAGTGTGGGGTGTGCAGAAGGCAGCCCATCGATGATTCTCTCTCATCACTCATGTTTGTAACTCTCTCTCCCTCTCCCTTCCTCTCTGAAATCAATAAAAATATGAAAAATAAAAAAGTAAAATTAGCCCTAACCGCTCCGGCTCAGTGGATAGAGCGTCGGCCTGCGGACTCGAGGGTCTCGGGTTCGATTCCGGACAAGGGCATGTACATTAGTTGCACGTAGGGGGTGTGCAAGAGGCAGCTGATCCATATTTCTAGCTCTCTATCCCTCTCCCTTCCTCTCTGTAAAAAATCAATAAAATATATATATTTTTTAAAAAGTAAAATTTTAAAAAATTAGAAAGGAACGAGTGAGCCTTTTGGAAATGCAACTGAGACCTGCCCACACCCCCGACTGAAGCTCTCAGAGGCTCTCCCTGCCCGCCCTCCCCTCACCACTCACACCGGAGCCACACCCGCCACAACCCTCCCCCTGCCCGCATCCGTCCAGGCCCCCGGCCCGCCGCCCAGGCCCGAAGGCTCGGGGTCGCCCGGCCGGCGGTACCTGGGTGTCGGTGGGGGGCTCGTCTGTGCTGGCGCGGGTGCTGTTGAGGTATCTGATCTTGTCCTTCTTGTCGATGGTGTAGAAGCCCTCGCTGCGGGCGCAGCCTGTGGCGTGCTCGGGGATGTCATCCTCCCGTTTCTTTTTCTTGGCTGAAGAGAGGCTGGTGGGTGGGTGTGGGTCAAGGGCCACGTGGACATGGATGGCAAACCCCTCCTGCGACGCGCCCAGCAGCCCCGCCGTGCCACCCTCAGACCAGCCTCCAGGAGGGTACGGACCCCGCCTCACTGCCCACCACTCCATCGCATCGCACGCCCGCCTGCCCGCCCACCACCGCCACCACCACGGCGGCCAGAGCTCCCAGCTGTCAGGGGTACCTAGCTGCACAGCCCTGGGAGTGTCTCATAATTATCCACTCTCTGCCTCAGTTTTCCCATCTGTAAACTGGGTTCCTAACGGTGCCTCTCTGGATAGCTACTGGGATTTAGGGGCCTAGCAGAGTTCCTGACACGAAGAAAACGCTCAGCAAGTCCGTTTGGAGCGGTGGTTCCCCACCTGTAATACAGCTCCTCCTGCTGTGGTGACGCCCAACCATAAAATTGTTTTTGTTGCTACTTCATAGCTGTAACATTTCTGCCACTGTTATAAATCGTAATTAAATATCTGTTTTCTGATGGTCGCCCACCATTGGCTCCACGGCACCGGTTCTTAACCCTGATCCACAGGTAGAAAACCGCTGCTGTAGAGCCTAAGACCATCAGAAAACGCAGACATTTACATTACGATTCCTAACAGTAGCAAAATCAGTTACGGAGTAGCAACGAAAATAACTTTATGGCCGGGGTCACCACGAGGCGCTGTATTCCAGGGCGGCGGCATCAGGAAGGTGGAGGGCCGCTGGCTTAGGACGGGGGAGGTGAGTTCCAGCCTCAAACGCCCTGTTCACCAGTGGCTCTCAGGAGCGCTGCGGTGAAGAGCCACGTTCTGGAGCCAGGTTTCAGCTCTGCCGCTTTGGGGCTGTGTGACCCTGGGCAGGCTGCTGAGCCTTCCTGAGCCGCGGCTCCTACACAGACACGATGGGACCTCCCTGGGCTGCTGCCTCCGTTACGTGGACCGGCCACGCCGCTCCCCTTGGTCTGGGGTGAGCCCGGCTGGCCTGGGGGCATTTACAGCGTCAGTGCCGACCCCGCGAGGGCACAGATGACTCCGTGTGGGCACAGACACTGCCTCTCAGGGCCGGGGCCGCGCTCCCTCCGCCCTCTCGGGGCCGTGCTCCCCCCGCCCTCTCGGGGGCCGTGCTCCCTCCGCCCTCTCGGGGCCGGGGCCGTGCTCCCTCCGCCCTCTCGGGGGCCGTGCTCCCTCCGCCCTCTCGGGGGCCGTGCTCCCTCCGCCCTCTCGGGGCCGGGGCCGTGCTCCCTCCGCCCTCTCGGGGCCGTGCTCCCTCCGCCCTCTCGGGGGCCGTGCTCCCCCGCCCTCTCGGGGCCGTGCTCCCTCCGCCCTCTCGGGGGCCGTGCTCCCTCCGCCCTCTCGGGGCCGGGGCCGTGCTCCCTCCGCCCTCTCGGGGGCCGTGCTCCCTCCGCCCTCTCGGGGGCCGTGCTCCCTCCGCCCTCTCGGGGCCGGGGCCGGGGCCGCGGGCAGGATATAGGGGTGGTAGACCCAGAGGGTGTCGTTGAGCCAGTCCATGCCGTTGTCCTGCTGTAGCAGCCGCTCGTAGGTGACGCACAGGAAGCGGATGTCCTCCTCGTCGATGCCGCCGTTCCAGATGTCGTACAGGATGGTCATCTCCTCGAACTCGGTGCGCGGCCGGAACAGGGGCTGCGGCGGGGAGCGCTCGGGCGAGGCGGGCGCCGCCGGGTCCTCGTGGCGCTTCCTGGGCGGCCGGCGCCAGGGGCCGCGCGCCTTGGCCAGCTCCAGCAGCTCCTCGGCCGCATCGTCGCGCCCGCGGGGGCCCGGGGGGATGGCCTCCGACAGCCACTGGTTCTCCAGCTCCTTGAAGGGCAGCTTGGCGGGCTCCGCAGGGGGCGGGGGCGGGGGCGGCGGCGGCTGGGGGGGCAGGGGCGGCGGGGGGGCCGGGATCCCCGTGTTCCGGAAGTCCAGGGTCACTGCCCGGGGGTCGTGGGCGCTGGGGAAGACCGGGGCCTGGGGCTGGCCCGGCAGGAGCAGAAGGTCCCTGCCCAGGGCGGCTGCCCCCGGCGGCCGGACCAAGGACCCGTCCAGGGAGAGCAGGGCCGGGGGGGACCGTCGGGGCCGGCCCGGCTTCCTCTTGATGGGGGGCGGGCAGGAGGCCAGGGGGGTGGGGAGCAGGGGCGGCAGCTGGGGAGGGGCCCGCGCTTGGGGCCGCAGGACGGGCACGGGCACGGGCAAAGCCAGGGGCAGGGGCAGGGGCAGGGGCAGCGGCAGCGGCAGGCCGGTCTCCAGGAGCACCTGGGACGGCAGAGGGCCGGGCCGCTCGTCCCGGCGGCCGGCGGGCAGGGGGCAGAGGGGCAGGAGCAGGGGCCCGCCGGGCTCGGGGAAGGTGGGCGTGAAGCTGAAGTCCCGGCCGGGCGTCCGGGGGAGCCCGCCGCTGCCCAGGCCGGGGGACTGGGCCGGGTAGGAGAAGGGGCTGCCGGGCACCTGCGGGGAGCTCAGGGACAGGGTGCTGCTGCCCCCGGACAGCGGGGGCTCCCCGCCGGGCGTGGCCGGCACCGTCTCCGTGCTCTGCGACTTGGCCAGGCCGCAGATGCCCGGCGTCCGCGGCGGCTGGTCTTCGGGGGGAGGCTCCAGGGGGGCGGGCGGGGGCGGGGGCTCTGGGGGCTCGGGCTCGGGCGGCGGGCTGGGGGGCCGGGGCGGTCGAGGGGGTGGCAACGGCGGCTGCGGAGGCAAGGAAAGCAGCAGAGGGGGCTCAGGCTTTGCTTCCACATCCTCCCCTGCAGAGACGGGTGGAGACCAGGCCACGTTAGTAGATTCAAACACCTCTGGGTGCCCTACTTCTGCCCCACTGCGCACTCGATACCTGCCCCACGCACAGCTCCGCGTCCCCGAGACTCTCCTGAGCGTAAAGACGGCGCCCGCCCCCTGCCGCCGCCGAAACCGGCGTGGCTCAGTGGATAGAGCGTCGGCCTGCGGACTGAGAGGTCCCGGGTTCGATTATGGTCAAGGGCATGTGACTTGGTTGCGGGCACATCCCCAGTGGGGAGTGTGCAGGAGGCAGCTGATGGATGTTTCTCATTAATGTTTCTGACTCTCTGTCCCTCTCTCTTCCTCTCTGTAAAAAATCAACATATATATATATATATAATTATTAGAAAAATAAAAAAAGACGGCGCCCCAGCTGAGCCCCTGAGGACTCGCAGCCTCCACCCGGGGTCGGGGACACAGCAGGTGCCGGTGTTAAAGTAAACCGAAGGCGGAGGCACCGGTCTTCAGAACAGCGCTGTGGACAGGGACTGTGCCGTGAACAGGAGAGCGGGCTCTGCGAGCGAACAGGAGTCCCGTGTCTCCGGGGCAGGGCCTGTCAGAGCTTCTGCGCGTTCCTCCACGTGTCTGCCGCGCTCTCTAACACCGGCCGTTCCCTTGCACCTCGGCCTGGAACCAAAGCCCCCCGAGGCAGATCGCTCTGCCTGTTCACTCCTCCGCAACAGCACTGGGGACGCAGCCACGTCTCACTAAAACGCCTGTGAGGACCAAGGCCTGCCGCCCTGCAGCCAAAGAACAGAACTGAGCACATGTAGCAGGCTTCTTCCCCGAGGGCTTCAAGTTAGAGTGCGAACCAGCCGCTGGCTGCCTCGCTAAGTCTAAGTCCGTTAAAACCAAGGACCAGCCGAGACCGGTTTGGCTCAATGGATAGAGCGTCGGCTTGGAGACTGAAGGGCCCCGGGTTCGATTCCGGTCAAAGGCAAGTACCTTGGTTGCGGGCACATCCCCAGTAGGGGGTGTGCAAGAGGCAGCTGATCGATGACTCTCTCTCTCATCGATGTTTCTAACTCTCTCTCTCCCTTCCTCTCTGTACAAAATCAATAAAATATATAAAAATAAAAATAAAAAAAATAAAATTAAAACCAAGGACCACAGACCCAGCACCCTGCTCCCCACCGCCCTCCAGGGCTCTCACAACACCGTGTCCAGTGGCCCCCGGCCGGCTCAGGGCCGAGCAGACACATCCATGGCGGCGGGGAGTTCTAGTGGAACGCACTGCCCGCCCCTGACACGCTCCGCGCAGCTCCAGCAAGCCCGTGTCCCCGGCCTGTCTCCTGGCCCCAGAGCCTCCCCACCTGCCTGGCCCTCCTTTGGGGGAGCAGGGCCTAACCTGTGGAAACACCGGACTGAGGCCCGGTGACAGCGCCTGTCCCCTCTGAGCGGCCAGCAGGTGCCGGGCTCTGCGCCGGCACCTTCCACACCCCCCATCCTCTCCCCCCACCCCTCCGCACGGCGGGGGCATTGGCCATCCACCCCATTTTGCAGATGGGGAAACTGAGGCCTGGGAAAGTTCCCTGATGTACCCAGCGGAGTCTGGGCTCCTCCTGCCCCCGCCCCTGCAGTCCCCCGGGGCCGGGGCAGTTACCTCGGGGGGGCTCCGGGGGCGGGGGGAGGCGGGCCTCTGTGTCTGTCGCAGGAGGCTCCGGAGACGGGGGCCTGGCCGCTTCCTGGCTCGGACCCGGCTCCCCGGGGGGCTCTCTCGCACCCGCAGGCGGGGGCAGCTCCTCCATCGCGGGGGTCCGCTCCCCAGGGCCCTCGTCCTCGATGTCCACTTCCTCCTCCGTCACGGGCTCGATCACCGGGGCCTGCGCGGCCGCGTCCTCCTCAAAGCTCTCGTCGGGAACGGCGGGGGCCATGCTCTCGTCCGTGGTTGCCTCCTCTTCCTCCTCTTCCTCCTCTTCTTCCTCCTCCTCCTCCTCCTCCTCCTCCTCCCCGGCCGCCAGCTCTTCTTCATCCTCCGAGGAGGACGATGACGAGGACTCGGAACTGGACTCGAACTCCGAGGACGAGGAGCTGCTGCTGGAGGAGCCGGGCCCCGCCCTGCGGGTGGCCACGCTCGCCGTCTCCTCTGGGGGGACACGGAGGGGGCGGTCACTCCCGCCCCTGTCCGGACATCTCATGGGAACGGGACCGCGGGGTGCGTGGGGCGTGTGCCCAGACGGGCTGTGGCCGGGCCAGGCTCTGCCGCAGAGGCCCGCTCACCTGCGTCCGAGTCGCCTTCCTCCCTGTGGCTCGCCTCCGACCCGGCCAGGTCCTCACCGCCGTCCTTCAAGCCTTCCCGGCCGTCACTGTCCTCGTCGTCCTGGGGGACAGAGGGGGGTGAGCACAGCGCCCCCTCGCCCGCCCGGCACCCCGGCCGCCCCGCCCCGCCCCGAATGGCACCTTATCCGACGTGGAGGAGGAGGAGGAGGAGGAGGAGGAGGAGGAGGAGGAGGAGATCTGGCTCCCAGGGGCTTCTTCCTCTTTCTCTTCTTCGTCCTCCTCCTCCTCCTCCTCCTCTTCCTCCTCCTCCGTGCTGTCCGGCTCCTCCTTGTCCGAGGCCGAGGAGGAGGGTGAGGTGGACGAGGACCCCGAGGAGGAGGAGGCCGACGAGGACGAGGACACGGACAGCGACTCCTTCTCGTCCTCCTCGCCGCCGCTGTCCAGCTCCAGGGGCCGGGCCGGCCGCCGCCGCACGCCCACGCCCTTGGCGTCCCGCTTGGCCAGCTCGCAGGGGGCGTCTGCCATGTCCCGGTCCCGCTCGCGCTCCGACTCTGCGGGGAGGGGGGTGTCGGCGGGAGGAGGACAGGAGGAGCCGCCCCCGGGGCAGAGGGAGACGGCCACACACACACACACACACACACACACACCTTCGTCCTCCTCGTCCACCGAGGCCGAGGGCCGCAGCCGCTTCTGGTCTCCGGCCGTGGCCGTGTCCGGGGGCTCCTTCCGCTTGACCTTGAAGGAGGGCAGGCGGATGGCCCCGCGCAGCCCGATGCCCAGGCCCAGGCCCTCGTAGCCCAGGCCCTCGCCCTTGCCCCACGACTCCAGCAGGCAGGAGGTGATGCGGTCCTTGGGCTTCGGCCGGTCCTCGTCCTTGTGCTCTCCCGACTTCACCGGGGTCAGCGAGGCCTGCGGGCGAGAGCGGACGTCCCCGCGGTGAGGGGGCCGCCGGCAACTCCCCCGGGTGCCCCGAGCGGCCTGCCCCCTCCCAGGGCAATCAGCTGCTCCCGGGACGCCCGGGAGATGGCAATTCACCAAAAACATCATTTCAGCCGAAACCGGTTTGGCTCAATGGACAGAGCGTCGGCTTGGGGACTGAAGGGTCCCGGGTTCAATACCAGTCAAGGGGCATGTACCTTGGTTGCAGGCACATCCCCAGTAGGGGGTGTGCAAGAGGCAGCTGACTGTTGTCTGTCTCTCATCGATGTTTCTAACTCGCTCTCTCTCTCCCTTCCTCTCTGTACAAAATCAATAAAATATATTAAAAAAAAAAAAAAAAAAGTGGGCCGGGACTGGTTTGGCTCAGTGGATAGAGCGTCGGCCTGCGGACTGAAAGGTCCCGGGTTCGATTCTGGGCAAGGGCATGTACCTTGGTTGCAGGCACAACCCCAGTAGGGGGTGTGCAAGAGGCAGCTGATCGATGATTCTCTCTCATCGATGTTTCTAACTTTCTATCCCTCTCTCTTCCACTCTGTGAAAAATCAATAAAATATATTATAAAAAAAAAGTGGGAAATGTTATAAAAAACAAAAACAAAAAACATTGCTTCACACCCGGCACGCGTACGGGCCTATCCTGGGGTGGGGCAGTGTCCCCGGGGGTCTCTTGGAGGAGAGGGTGCCACCGGGCCCACCGCTCGGCCCAGCGCCCCCCCCCCCCGCTCCGGCCGGCCCCAGGCCCCCCACTCCGGCCCGGCCCCCCCCCCCCCCCCCGCTCCGGCCCCGCCCCCCTCCTCCCCCAGCTCCGGCCCGGGCCCCGCCCCCCCGCTCCGGCCCCGCCCCCTCCCCCAGCTCCGGCCCGGGCCCCGCCCCCCCCGCTCCGGCCCCCCCCGGGCCCCGCCCCCCGCTGCCGCCCACCTTGGCCATCCGCTCCTTCTTGTCCCACCACTCGTCGAAGGCCCGGAAGGCCACCACCTCCACCATCTTGCGGTTGAGGTCGCGCTTCATGATGGCCTTCAGCTCCTTGAGCACCACCAGCAGCACGCCGTCCACCGTGGCCTTGTGCGGGTCCTCCTGGCGCGGCAGGTAGCCGGGCGGCGGCACGGACGGGTCGAACTTGGGCAGCGGCGGCCAGGGCTGCCCGCGGCCGGGGCCCGCGCCGCCCAGGGCGAAGGGGCCGCGGTAGGGCGGCAGGTTGACGAACTGCAGCCCGGCCGCGGCGGCGGCCATGAAGGGCGGGTAGGGGCAGGCGCCGTGGCCGGTCATCAGCCGGCTCAGCATCTGCGTCTGCATCTGGAAGGACATGGGCATGCCGCCCCACTGGCCGCCCAGCACGTGGCTCATGTCCACCTGCATCACGGGGAACAGCCCGGGCGGGAAGGGCGGCAGGGGCGGCAGGATGGGCGGCGGCGGCACGCCGGGCGGCGCCGGCAGCGGGGGCGGGGGCACCGCCACGGCCGGGTGGGCCGGGGGCGGCGGCGGCGGCGGCGGCAGAGGGGGGGGCATGGGGAAGCCGGGCTGCGGCGGAGGGGGCGGCGGGGGCGGGGGCAGTGGCGGGAAGCCGGGGGGCGGGGGCAGCGGCAGGTTCGGGGCCAGCACGGAGGGGCCTGCCACGGCCGCCGACCCCGGGGCCACCACCATGGGCTTGGGGCAGTCGGCGCTGGTGATCGGGGCCGAGGGCATCTCGTCGTCTGAGATCTCCATGTCCTCGCCCGAGGACTGCTGGCCCTGCGGAGAGAAGGGAGACAGTGTGAGCGAGCGTGAGCCTGGGGGGCCAGGCCAGCCCCCCCCCCAGAACCCCCTCCCAACACCGGCGAGTTGGAGGAGAGGCCTCCAGCCACGTGGCCTCAGCAACGCACGTCACCTCTCTGAGCCTCAGTGTCCCCATCTGCATAATGGGCGCCCCAGTCCCTGCCTCCGGGGTTATCATGAGGACCCCGTCATTTTACAAACACTCCCTCAGCACTGTCCTCGGCGCTGGCCACGCAGTGGTGAACAGGACAGACAAGGTCCCCGGAGCTGGACTCCCAGGGGGGAGCGGCAGAAGGGAGTCGGGAGAAAGAGGTGAAATACGCTGTGTGTCCCGGAGAAAAAGGAAGCCGGGAAGGGGGTGCAGGGAGAGGAGGAGAACAGATTCTGTTTCCGTTTGAGAGCTTCTGTTTCAATTTGTATTCAGAGAGGATAACGCTAATAACCAACGCCTCCGCGGCTCTCCCTGTGAGCCTGGCACCTCTCTCAGCACTCCACCTACATCAACTCAGAGCGCCCTACGGGGCGGGCCTGCCAGCTCCTCTTCTGCGGAGCGAGAAGCGGGCACAGAGAGCTCCCGTCCTTGCCCAAGGCCACACAGCCAGCAGGAGGCGGAGCCGGGATTTGAACCAGAAGGGGCTCCCGGTCAGCCTGCGGTCCTCCCTGTGGCAGAGAAGCCGGAGGAGAAGGTGACCTGTGACCGGCGGGGGGGGGGGGGGGGGGGGGGGGGGGTGTTTGACAGGACTAAGGCTACATAAATAGGAGGTATGACTTTGTTTCCCTTAATTACCCTTTTCATCGAGTCTCATGATGGATGATGGGCCCCTCTGTATGGGCCAGAGTGGGGCTGAGTCTCCTTTCTTCTCTCACTTTGTTTTTAGGATTGCGTTTATCGGGGTGACAATGGACAATAAGATTGTGTGGGTTTCAGGCGTACAGCTCTATAACACATCCTGTGTGCGCTGCTGTGTTTTCACCGGCCCATATCGAGACCCCTTCCCTCTGCTAATCACCACACTGTTGTCTGCATCTGAGTTTTGGTTTTTTTTTTTTTTTGCTTAATCCCTTCACCTTTATCACCCAGCCCCCCAAACTCCCTGCCCCTCTGGCGGCCAGGCTGTTCTCTGTATCTATGAGTCTGTTTCTGATTTGTTAGTTCATTTTGCTCATTAGATTCCACATGTTGAGTGCATCACATGGTGTTGCCTTCCCCTCACTGGCTGTGTCACTTCCCATGATGCTCTCCAGGCCCACCCACGCTGCTGCAAACGGAGAGATTCCCTTCTCTTACAGGCGAGCGAGCGGTGCGAACGCACGGCAGCTCTCCACCCCCTCGGCGCCTGAGGGCCATGCGGCCGCCGTCTGCGGCGAGCACACCCGCCCCCGGCCTTACCCGCGCTGTGACCTCGGGATGCGGGGCTCCCCTCCCCTCCCTCCTGACAGGCGAGGAAACATGCGAGCGCGCCGAAAGCCACTGACTGGCCCAAGAGGCAGAGCCGGTCACCGACAGGCCGGGGCCCCGGCCAGGATGCCGCCCAGGGATCTGGTGGCCACCCCGGGAGAACAGGGGAGTCGAGGGTGACCCCAGCTCTAAAATGGGCAAGGGCCAGTTTGCACTGGGGTGCAGGGGGGAGGCGTGGGGCTGCACGGTGGGGGTGGAGCAAGAAGGCAAGCAGGGGTGGGGAGAAAGGGGCCGGGCCACCCCCAGGCTCTCTAGTCGGGACAAGAGGCGAGAAGCTGCCCTGGATGAACCTGGCGGAGGCGGACGGGGTGTGTGCAGGCGGTAAGGTCAGCCTATAGGCGAGGAAGGCCTCACAGGAAAACGGGGTGTGTGTGTGTGTGTGTGTGTGTGAAGAGAAATAGCAAATACTATGGCAGCAGTAGCAAAAAGCTCTGGCTTTTGCTAGGTCCTCTCTATTCTCCTTCTCTCCCTCCCTCCCTCCCAGGGTCCCCACGCGAATGCTGAGAGAGCGAGAGCCAGCGAAGGGCAGACTCAGCCTGCTGCTCGGGACAGCGCCCAGAGGATCAGCCCTGGACAGCGCCCAGCAAGCTGCGCCGACTGCAGAGGGTTAACCCAGCCGGCCAATCACGGGAGCCGGGATCTGCGCTTCGGGCTCGGCCCCTCCCTCCCTCCCTCCCTCCGCCCGGCCTCGCCTGGGGGGAGAACCAGAACCGGAGGAAACAGCCCCAGCGCCCAGCACCAGCCCAGGCGGTGCCTGGAGCTCCCCCGGCGGCGCCTCCCTCAGGCCCAGTGTGAGGCGGGTGCTCGCCCCTTCCCATTTCACTGGCCCCGAAACTGAGACTCAGACAGGGAAAGTGCCCTCCCTGCAGTCACCTGGCCAGTGCGTGCCAGAGCCGGGGCTCAAGGCCCGGCGCCTGCAGTTTTAACCACCAGACTGTGAAGAAAGGGGATCTCCCTCCTTTATTCCCCCCACCCCCTCCCCCTCCTCAAAGCGGGCCTCCCTGCGCAGCTCTCCAGCCCCAGAGCAGCCCCGGGAGAAACTCCTTGGTCAGTACCCAGGAGCCGAGATGCTGCTCTCCCAGCGGCCAGCAGGGGGCGCGCGAGGCCAGCCTGGAGGTCCTCAGTGCTCCCAGGCCTCCCAGGGCTAATAAGGTCCCGAGGCATCCAGGACCCCGGCGCTCTGGGCCTCAGCCTCCTCCGCTTCCCTTCAGTGACTCGGGGAGGGGGGGGGGGAAGCCCACCCTCCGGCTGCTCTGTGCTTCTCTGCCCAGCTGGTCAACCGAGGGAAGAGGGAGGGCCGCTGGGCTGGCAACCCCCACCTCTGCACACCTGTCAACTCCCCAGGCTCGGGCTCCGCGGCACCTGAAACCACTTCCCCAGAACTGCCCGGAGGGCCCCTGGAGCCCCAGCACCTGTGGTCCCTGCTGGGCAGGCCGTGTTCCTCTCTGTTCCTCCCCGAGGCAGCCAGACCGGCCTAATCACAGGGCCTTTGGCGGGGACCCTCCTCCCGCCACCCACGGGGGCACTGTGCTCTGTCTACGCCCCTGGCTGCTCATGCCCGTCCGGCCCACAGGTTCACGCAGGTCTCCCGGAGGGGCGGGGTGGTCAAGGAAGATGACCTAGTGCCCACCTCCTCCCCTCCTTTCCCCCTGTCCCCCCCACCAATCCTGAAGCTGGGGGTTCGGGCAATGAGACCCCAGGAGAGGATCTAAGGGTGAGGACAACCTCCTGGCTCCGGGCTTCGGCCTCCTCCTGGGCTAATCCTGAACTCCTTCACCACTGAGCCAGGGGAAGTGGGAGAAGGCACATTTCAGTGCCCTCCCTGCCTGCCCGCCATGGTTCCCCTTCTTTCTGGAGGCTCCAGGGCTCACACCTTCTCCCCAACCTTCCCGAGCCTCGGGACCAGCCCTGATCATCCATCCCTAAGCCACCCCACAGAGCTGGGAGCCCGCACCATCACCACAGCCCGCACGCTCTGGGACCTGAGGGACTCCCACCAAAGATCGAGCCAGAAGAGATCCCTGGGAAGTCCTGACTTCCCACTCCTGGCCGGGAGAGCGACAGAACTAGGTCAAGCTTCCTTCTCGCCTCGGCTACTCGGGAACCTAAGAGCCAGACCAGCAGCTCAATCACAGCCTCGTGCTTCCTGCATCCCTTTTTCATTCTCTGCCGGCTGACCGGCTCTCCTGGCCGCCCTAGCCCAGCTGCTTCTATGTCTTAGCTAGATGTCCGAGGAGATGCTGTTTCAGATGCGGAAGGAGGGAGACACACCAGACAGACAAAGCCCATCCCAGAGGAGAGACGGACAGACAAAGCGGGTGGTACCTCATCCATCTTCTCCGAGGTCGGGGTCCTGTCTCCAGCCAGGTCCAAGGTCGCCTCGGTTGCCTGGCCCAGGAGGCCAGAGGGGTCCGGGGGGCCCGGCTCGGGCGGGGGGCGGGGGCCCAGCCCCAGGTCCAGCTCGTCGTCCTCGTCCGAGTCCGGCAGGGGCGTGGGGCTGATGTCCTCCAGGCCGGTGCTGGAGGGGCGCGAGGAGGGCGGCGTGGGGCCGCGGAAGCCCGGCTGGCAGTTGGTGCCGAAGGGCGCCAGCGGGGAGAGCTGGGAGGAGGAGGAGGAGATGGGGCTGCCCTCCATCTGCAGCTCCGGGTCCGAGTCCTGCTCCGGGAGGAAGGGCAGCTTGGTGCGCTGCTCCTTCAGCAGCATCTCGATGCGCGAGTCCAGGCTGTCGTGCGGCTTCTCCAGCCCCGCGGGCGACGGCGACTCCAGCGTGGGGGTGCCCGGGCTGTGGCAGGGCTCGGGGCTCCAGCCGAAGGCTGGCCGGCCGCCCAGCTCCAAGCTGTTGGCCTCGGGGGGCGGGGGGCCGGGCGGCGTGCCCGGCTTCTCCTTGGTCCGGGGCTCTGTGGGCGGCAGGGGCGGGGGCACAGGGGCTCTCCGGAACTCCCCACTGTCCCGGGCCCCGAAGGCGGCCGCGGTGGCGGCGGTGGTGGTGGTGGTGGGGGCGGCCGCGGTGGTGGTGGGGGCGGCGGGCTCCTCGGGGGGCGGGGGGAACGGGGGCACCGGAGTCTGATAGGGGGAGAAAGCGGCCTTGAACGTGACCCCGGGAGCGGGGGTCGCCTGGGCGGGGGGCGGTGGAGTGTGGGCAAACGTGGCCGAGTCCTGTGGCTGGGCCTTGAAGGGAGGGCCGCCGCCCCCGGCCCCGAACGGGAGGTCCACGGAGCCCCTGAAGGCGGCCGCGGCCCCGGCCCCGGCCCCCGCGGGGGCGGCGGACGAGTTGTGGACGTAGTGGTGCTCGTGGCGCCGGTTGTAGGCGTCCGTGAACTTGCTCTCGTGGCGCCGGGGCTTGAAGGGCACGGCGGGGTCCTGGCCGAAGAGGTACGAGGGCGTGGGCTGGCGGCTGGAGTAGCTGGAGTCCTGCGAGAACGGGGTGCCCAGGCGCGGCGTGAGCGGGGTGCCCTGCCCGTAGGAGTTGGGGGTGTCCAGGCGGCAGCTGGAGTAGGCGGTGTCTTGGGAGAAGGGCGTCCCGCCGCTGTTCGGGGTGACAGAGGAGGAGCCGGAGCCACAGCCCGTGGAGAGGCCACCATCCTTGAGGCGCTTCAGGGCATCAGACAACTAGAGAGAGAGAGAGGGAGAGGGAGAGGGAGGGGTGAGGTCACTGGGGGGACCTGTCCCCCTCTCACTCTGGCTGCCAGGAGTTCAGAGCCAAACTGGTCGCCTCAGGACGGCAATATGTGAGGTTGGGGGCGCTGGAGGTTGAAGAGGAGCGTCTGGCTGGTCCCACCCTTTCTCTACTCTCAGGGCAGCCAGTTATCCTCAGGGACCCTGCAGGGTCTTTCCTGTTCCTGAGGCAGAGAAAAGAGAAGATCCTGACATCCTGGTGAGAACTGGGACCTCCTTCCCGCCTCCTTCCCGGCAGCGGGAGCAGCAAGGACTACGGGCGTGGGGCTGAGAGGTGGCCTCCCAGCGTTCTGGTTGAAATAACAGGACCTGGCACACCAGCCTAAGGAACCCAGCTGGGCAGCGAGGGACCCGGCTCTTCGTTCGGGAAAAGCCGCTCCGCAGGGAGGGCGGCGGGCAGAGGCTGGGGAAGGGCTGGGACGGCACTCAGGTGTGGGTGGGCCGTGGAGCATCCTGGGAGGCGGGAATTGGGGGGGGGCGGGGGGGTCAGTCTTGCTCTGGAAAGAGGGACCTGAACTCTGCTTTCTGGGTGCATGGGACACAGGGTGCAGCACCTTCGAGGAGAGTGGGCTCCAGGTGGGCTCTGGGGCCGTGGGAACCCCAGGCTGTGTGTGGCCAGGCTAGGTTCCCTCCTCGGCCCCGGGGGCCACACGAGGGAGCTGGTGACGGGGAGAGGGGCGCTGATGTGATAAACCCACCTGCAGGGCCTCGTTCACGATGGGAGAGACCGCATCCAGCTCGCCCACCGGCAGGGTCTGGGGTGTGTACCGGCCTGTGACCAGCAGCTCATAAAACCGCATCCGGGTTTCCCCTGTGGAGGGACAAGGGAGGCGGGCTTCAGCCAGTTCCCCGACGGGGCGGCCCCCACAGGCTGGCTTCTTTGTGGGTCCCCGTGCCCGAGACCCCAAGCCTGGGGAAGCTGTGTGAGTCTATCCCAGACCCCACCTCTCTGCACCCTCCCCAGGAGCCCCATCTGCTCCACGAGGCTGCTACGCTGTATGATTTTTCTCACCTGAGACTCAGAAGTTAATGCCCGGTGGGGCTGGGATTCCCCCAAATACAGAAATGCCACCCCAACACAAAGCCTCTTCCTGCACCTGGACCCCCGGAGAAAAGAGCCAGGTCCCCCCAGTCCTGCCCTTTCCCTTTGCCAGGAGCAGCCAGGGCCTGGCGGCGTGTGGGGAGGGGAGGGGGCAGTTTGTGGGTAACTGTTGGGGGCCAGGTGACCAGCAGTTTACAATAAATACCAGGTTCCTGTGAACACCACAGGCCTCTCCCTCCGCACAGACTCCCCAGCTCGCACAGACTCCCCAGCTCGGAGGACCAGCCCCATCCGGTGACCTTCTGCCCCTCGGAGCAGAGGCCTCTATAGACAGGGGCCCCAGATCGCTGGTATTTGGTATTTATAGAGCCCCGTGGGGCAGCTGCTTACATATGCAAAGGAGACGCATTCCTTGAGCTTCACTTTACACTTTACTGCTCTCTTTCTTGAAATACAAACTTAGTTGGCAGCTCTGAGGGCCCCCACCTTTTTTTTTCCTTTTCTTTTTTTCTCTTCTTTGCAGAAATGACATTTTGGTGAGAGCCGGCTGCTCCTTTGAATGGGGAGGGGGCTCCCCACTGGATTCTCAGGCCTGCAGCCACCCGAGGGGATGTAAGTTTGAAAGGGTCTGTACTCCCCTCACAGAGACTGACCAACTGGACCTGGGGGTGTGGGGGGCCGTGGCTCAGAGAGGAACCTGGACACTCAGCACGAGGTGCAGCTCAGCAGAGTTCAGGGGACAACAGAGCCCACCCAGGACCAGCAAGGCCCCAGAGACTCAGTCCATGTGCAATCACCATTAAAAGCAAAAATAAAGGTCCAGCGCTTTCTGTCTTGGGTTTTGTGTGCCCTGGAAGCCGCCCGCCTCAGCCCAGCCAGAGACCTGGAGGGGCTCTGGACCCAGTGAGAGTATCCGCCCGGTCCCGGGGCCAGCCTGTCCTCAGAATGCCCCCCACCTATCTAAGCCCCTTCTGTCTTGGCGGGAAGAGGAGTCCTTGCTCACCCCTCCGAGCCGGCTTCGGCAGGCTCCTGCCGTACCCACAGGGTGGGAGGTGTGGCCTCCCCAGCCGGCCGCTCCCAGCAGCCAGCAGGGAGTGAGCACAGTGCTGGGGAGGTGCTGCTGTCTCTTTAAGAGAGAGGAGGGACCACACAGTGTCAACCCTAGAGCACCCAGAGCAGCCCGCCCCACGCTATCTGGAACATTATCAATGAAACCACACTCGGGGACCCAGATTGGTTCCCACTTCCAGGGGGAGGGGGTGGCATGGGGGGAGGGCACCCCGGATCCCGGGAGGACTCCCCTTTTAGTTGAGGGACACACTCCTTATGCATTTTTAAAGACATCCTGGTCCGCCCTCCCTCATCCCCCCCCCCCACAAATAAACAAACCCAGACTCCTCCCCTCGCAGAGGGCAGCGCTGGGGACTGACTCCCGAAGCCCAGGCCACCTGGGCTCCGGAGGGGCCCCCCTGGGTGTCCGCGGTGGGGAAGCCTCCGGATGGTCCCTGGAGGCACAGTGGCCAAGGACCCGCACATTTGGTAAATTACAGCTTGTCTCCTAGCAACTGACAACACATTTAGCTCCACGTGATTCTATCCTCAGAAAGGGGGGGGGGGCGCCAAAATTTTTTTTTAAGATGGTAGAGCGGCATTAAGGGAGAGTGAGGGGTCCGCAACACTGCAGGAGGGCTCTGGAGGCGGGGAGGGGCCGCACTGCCGGGTCTTGAGCTCCTGGGCCCGCCCCCGCTCACCTTTGGTGTCCAGCTCCACGTGGATGATGTTGCCCATGACCGAGGTGCTGTGCAAGTGCTGCACGGCCTCCTTGGCGCCCCGGACCGTGGCAAAGACCACCTTGGCGATGCCCAGGTGCTTCTTGGTCTTGGGGTTGTACAGGATCTCCACCTCCTCCACCTCCCCATACTTCTTGCACATGTCCCGCAGGAAGTTTTCGCGGATGTTGTCATTCAGCTTGGCAAATGTCACCTGCTTCGGAGGCACGGGGCCCACGTAGAACTCATCGATCTGGCAGCAGAGGAGGAGGAGGGAGTTTGGAGGGCATTGGAATTGAAGGGGAAACACACAACCTTCCCTACTGGCCTGCCCTTTGAAAACAATGAAAGGTAGAAGGGTAAAAAAATAAAAAATAAATTTGGGGGGGGAAAACGCACGCGGGCGGGCCCGGGAAGCAGAGGATTAAATCGTTTGGAACGTGGAAGTCCTCCAGGTTCGAAAGGGGAAAAAGAAACAGTTTCTCTTTCTGGCCCCCTGACCCTCCCTCCATTCGGGCCTCGTCTCCCGGCTGCCGGGTCCGGAGCGACCCCTGGGGCTGGGAAGCGGTCCCTCCGGAGCCCCGAGGCCGGGCAGGGGGGCGGGTCCCGGGCCGAGCCCCCGGCGGGCGGGAGCCCCCAGCCGGGCGGGCGGGACATGGCATGGGCACCCCGATCACAGTCTCCCCGCGGGGTCCTCCCGCTCACAGGGGCTCCGGGGGGCGCCCCGCTCTCTCAGTCACCCCCGCCTCCCCTCCCCGCCAAAACTTCCCCGTCTGGGGCGGCGGGAACTCGGTCGGAACCCAGCCGGCAGGGCCCGCCAGGACTGGCGTTATTTTCGAACTCGGGGAGGGGAGGAGGGGCCGCGGGGCAGGGGGAGGGGTCCCACCTTGAATTTGGGCACCGACAGCTCCAGCTCCTTGTTTTTGGTCCAGATCCCGACCACCCGGGGGTCCTCGACGATGTCCACCGGGCGGTTGCTGGACATCTATGGGGAGCAGAGGGGGCGGGGGTTGGTCCCGCTCCCGGGGTCAGGGGGCAGACCCCCCCCCTTCTCCGGGCCACTTGTCAAACTCCAGGCTGGGGGCCGGGCTGACAGTTGGCCGGGGGGTCGGGGGTTCGGGACGGGGGTCCCCCCTCCCGGGGGCGGGGAGGGAGGGGGGCGGGAGGCGCGCCGGGACGCTCACCGCCAGGCTGAAGTGCTGCCCATCGTAGCGGTACAGCTTGTGGTGTCCCTTCTTCAGAGCCGGGTCAATCATCAACTTGTAACTTCTCCAGTGGTGGTTCCTCCTCTCGCCCGCAGGGCCGGGCTGCGGCGGGGGCTGCTGGTGGTGGTGGTGGGGGTGACTGTTCTCCATGCCGTTAACCCAACCTGGAGGCGAGCAAGTTGTTGTCGTCCCCGCCGCGGCGGCGGCTCACACACTCGCCCGGGAGCCGAAGGGTCCGGCCCCCACCCCCTCCCACCTTACCAGCGCGCCCCGAAAGGCGCTGTGTCGCCGGCTCCCCCCCGCCTCCCCCCAAAAAATATAAGAATAGAGCGAGAGACTATAAGCCTTCCGGGAGAATTAGAAGCCCGCCCGCTCGGCCACCGTCTCGGGGAGACAGCCAGGGGCTCCCGGGGGCCCCCGGTGCAGGCTGGCGGGGCCCCGGGCGCCGGGAGGACGCGGGCTCCGGCCCATGGAGCCGCCCGGCCGCCCGGCGTGGCGCGCACTCGCTCGCTCGCTCGGCCCGGCTCGGGCGCGGGGCTCGCGGAGGCCTGGCTCCGCCCGCCGCCCGCCGCCCGCCCGCCCGGCCGGGGCCCGGGCCCGAGGCTGGGGGCTCGGGCCTCTCCCTCCCCGGGCCGCGCTTACATCCCCGCCGGGCGCCGGCCTCCCTGCGCCGCCAGCCAGTACATGGTGTCCCCCGCGGGCGCCGAGGCCGGGGCTGCGGGGCGGGGGGCCGGGCGCGGGGGGAGCCGCCGCCGCTGCTGCCGCCGCCGCCGGGCCCGGAGCTGCTGCCGCCGCCGCCGCCGCCGCTGCCGCTGCCGCTGCTGCTGCTGCTGCCCCGGAGGCGGCTGGCGGCGGAGGCTCGGCTCCCAGGAGCCGCACATCCCACAATACACCGCTAAGGAGCCCGACCCGAGCGCTCACCCTCCTCCTCTTCCTCCTCCTCCTCTTCCTCCTCCCCTCGCCGGCCTCGCCGCTTCCCCAGGCTCTCCCCGCGGCGGCGGCGGCGGCGGCGGCAGCTGCGCCGCCAAAGCCCGGGCCCGGCGGCCCCCCACCCCTCGCCCGCGCGCTCCCACACCGCTCCCCCCTCCCCGGGGGGAGAAGGCCTTTTAATTTATTTATTCTGCGGGGACCTGGGTGGGGGGCTCGGCGGGCGGGGGCGGGGGTCTCCCCGGGCTCTGCCTCCCGCGGCCGAGGCTGCCGCCCTGGGAGCCGCGGCGGGCGTGCGCCTCGGGCCTCCACAACTGTCTCCAAACTGCCAAGGCCCCCGGGGATGGGCGCGTGGGGGTTCGGGGGGGCACAGGGCTGGGGTTTTGGGGTGTAATTGTGTGTCCGGACGCTCGAGCTGCGGCGAGGGGGTGGGGGGAGGCAAGACGACGAGTTGCAATCGAGGTATCTCCGCTCCGGGCGGCTTCCTCTTCGGCCCGGCGACCCCCCTCCCCCCTCCCGGAGCGGCGCTCAGGGAGGGGAAACCGGGATTTTCACCAAATTAGCATTCCCGTGCCTGCCTGGGAGGATGCAGCCCTTCGCCTGGACCTGGCTGATACAAGCTTTTTTTTTTTGCTCTTGTTTTTTATTTTTGGAGAGCCAGAGAGCCCTGTAATTGTCCAGAACACATGCTTCTCTTCTCTCTCTCTCCCCCTCCACTCCACCCCCTTCTTCTTCTTCCTCCTCCTCCTCCTCCCAGCCGCCAGCGAGCGGAGAGAGTCCCCCCTTTTTTTGCATTTCTCTCTTCCTTCCCCTTTCTTTATTAAAGGTCCGGGAGAGGCGGCGGCCAATCAGCGCGCGGCTTCCATCTTGTGAGTCCGGCGCCGCGGCTCCCGGGCTGGGCGAGGGCGCGTTCGCGGCCCCCGCGGCCTCCCCGGTCGGGCGGGCCGGGGCCCGGAGCCGCCCCGCCGGGGCCCGGCGGGGGTGTATCTCATGTTGGGGCTCTTTTCGGGGTTCGTAATCGGGCCGTGGGGAGGTAATTGGCTGGAGCAGGGCGGCGGGGCGCGGCAGCCAATGGGCGCGCGGCTTCCATCGGGCTCGAGTTCTTAGACGCTGATCTCCAAACATCCTTCATCAGACACCAAGGAGAGGCCAACAGATGAGGGGAGCCATTTTTCTGCAATGGAATTAAATGGCCAAGTGGGTTTTTCCTTTGTTGCAAATGGGGGAGACGCTTTTCCTTTTGACTTCCACCGTCCAGGCAGGACGCCTCACAGTGTTGTGTGTAGCATTGGTCAACAAGGCTAAAAGGACTCTCACAGTTGGAAGAATTGGAGAAGACGTTTTTTAAAAAGATCTGGATTTTTCCTTTATGACTTGGAATCCATCTTTGTCTTGTGTAACTAGGTCATAGCACACCATTAATGTCAGCAGTTAACAGTTTTGAATTCCAAAAAAAACTAAGTAAATGACATATTTAATTTCTTTTCCTCTTTTTTTTTCTTCTTGGGTGGGTGGGTGGGGGGAGCTTGGAGCTGTCTTAATCTGTATTCTCTTAACTGAACAATAAATTTTTAAATATATATATATTTATATATATATAGTTTCCTCTATTAAACACTTAAACCTGGCCATCTTATTAACTCCTTTCTCTCTCTTTTTTTTTTAACAAGGTAATGTTTTAAATGTAATAGTTTTAGAACTAGCGAAATGGCAGCAACAAAATAACTGTAAACAGTTGTTACTCTTTTTTTAAGTTTTTTTAAAAAACCTTTTACATTGTAAGTACCCAGTCCATTCTGTCCTTATGCCTTACGCAGTGCAGTTTTCATGTTCATGTTGCTGAGATATCCTTAATTTTCTGAGCCTTCGTCTGCATGTCTGTCTTTGTCGCTCTTGTCTAACAATAAGCCAGCTAAGAATGCTTTTAGACGATGTTGCTTTTTATCAAGCTAAGGCTTTAGCTTTTGAAGCGTTTGGAACTGTTTATAGCCATAAATGCCAGTCAGCTTTCTTCCCAGTAACATGGACACTCTCTCTGAAAATCGATCTGTTTGGAGGAAAACAGCTCTGGGTTTGTTTTTTTTCCCTGTTTCTTTTTTTTCTTTTTCTTTCTGGTCTGGATGGAGGGGTGGGCGAGAGAAAGGGAAGACCTCTTTGTGTAGAGAGACGAAAAGCCGTCACAGGAAACTAGATTAAAACTGGAAAGCAAGTCCTGGCTGGTGCGAGCCAAACACCAACGTTTAACTCGTGGGTATTTGCTATGGAGGTTGGGACGGCCGCGTGTCTCTTTGCCTTTTGTTTGATTTGATTGTGTGTTTTCGCCTTTTGTCTCTTAATGACGGTCCCACCATGGCCACAGCCAGAGCAGTAAACAGCCCTCAGCGAAGCCGCCTTCTGCCAACCCAGCCCTGGGAAGGTCACCGCAGTGGAAGGAGCAGAACAGGCCCTGAGAGTTAACTGACAGAAAGGTAACAACAACGAAAGGCACCACCATTTCCCCCAAGGTCCCCAACAGTCTCCCACAGATAGACATATTTCTTCCCCAGTAACAAATCTCCCAACCCTCCGCCCGCCCAGCTTGCTTTCCAGACTCCATGGCACCGGGCTGAACGGGTAAGTTATTAAAAAAAAAAAAAAAAAGGTGCCTTTTGCCCCTTCGAGGAAATGTGTTTTTCGGAGCAGGCCAAAGGCTGCGAATGTGGGGGAGCCGAGGGGAGAGGGTGTGTGGCGCTTTTTGTGTTTGACAGCCGGGCCCGGGTGGGGTTGGGGGGCCGGGGAGGGCTCTGCGGGCCCCGCGCCCCTTCCGCCCGGAGGCGGCTCCCCGGCGGCCTCGGGCACCCATGCGGCCCCGCGTTTTCCTGGACCGGAGCCTCGGTGGGGAGGAGAGGTGGAAGTGCTTTGGAGATGGGGGTCCCTCCGAAGACGAGGAGACGTCCCCGCCAGGCCCAGGGACCCTCTCCCCTTCGGGCTGGGGGGGGGGGTCTGGCACCCCGAAGCCGGCCCCCGCGCCCTGGGCGCGCCTGCGCTCGCTCAGCCAGAGGACAAAGGCCGGCGTCCATGTTGGCACCATGACGCAGCGCCTCGCCGCCTGCAGCCTGGGCCGCCGCCCCTCCTCCCTCTCTCCCTCCCTCCCTCCCTCCGACACGAGTTTATTTTCAGGTTCTGAGCCGCGCCTGGCGGCTCATGGCGGCCGCTCTGCTCGTCCTTCCTCCTCCCGTGGCCGTTGCGCGCCCGGGGAGGTGGGGGTCCTCGGGCAGGGCCAGACCCCGAAGGACGCGGAGGCCGTGTTGGGGGTCCCCCGGGCCCGGGGGCGTCGCGCGCCGGGGCTCCGGCTCTCGCCTCCGCGGGGCGCGGCGCGCAGCCCGGCGCCATTTCGCGCGCCGCCCGCGGCCGGGGCGGAGGCGGCCGCTGCGCGCCGGGCGGGGGAGAGGAGGGAGGGGTGGGGAGGGAGGGGGGAGAGGGGCCCGGCGCGCCGCCGCCCACGCTCCAGGCCTCCGCCTCGGTGGCCGCCCCTGGCCGGGAGGCCTCGACGTCCAGCTCGGGCCGCGCAGCTGGCTCGCACCCCGCACCCGGGCCGGGGAGCCCCCGCGGGCAGCGGGAGGCCTAGCTCCCCTCCCTCCCGCCCGCGCGGGAGCCAGTAGCAAAGGGCCACGGAGCCGGATCGGGGCCTCGAGGCCGCCCCCGGACCCCGGGCTGCACCCCAGGGCCTCGGCGCCCGGGCCCGGCTCGCAAGGCGCCCTTGGATGGTGGAGCCCGAGGCGCAGGGGCCCCCTTTGGCGAGGGGCCCTCGTGGAAGCCACCGAGGCCGGATCTGGGCGCGCAGGGCACGCCCTCCCACCCGCGCTGCGGAGGCTGAGGCCGGGGGGAGGAAGGGGGGTGAGGCCTGGGAAAGCTGAGCTGGCTCTCCCCGGGGTCCCCCCCAGGCGCAGGGCTCCTGGGTAAACAGCTCCGACCCTGGGGTGGGGGAGGGGATGTGGCCGGGGCGGGCCTTTGGAAATGCAGATGAGTCGCCTCCTGCTGCTGGTCGCCCCGGGCTGAACCGGGTGACTCAGCCACACATTCCCCATCCCCCCACACACACACACCCTTAACCATTCCGGAGTAAGGCCGCCCGGCGGCTAGGAAGGGGGGAGAGGGGGTACATGTGTAAGGATCCCCTGTCGCTCAGGAGGTCCTGTCTAGGTTGTGGCCGTCAGTTCCCTAACAAACACTCCGGCTTCTCCCACCCCCCAGGCTCTTGGCCAGAGACGCGGTGCTCCCAGAACGGACCGTCCTCCTCTGGGCAGCAGGAGCGGGCCCAGTGTGGCCCTGACAGTGCTCTCCTGAGGTAGGTGTGAGCCCTTTCCCAGCCTGCAGGGGAAGATCTGGGGTCTCTGGCCTGGAGCCCTGGGAGGGCGGACCCCTCAAACCGGCCAGGCTGGTTCCGCAGCCCCTCCCCCGCACAGATGTGTAGGCGTGTGTGTGTGTGTGTGTGTGTGTGTGTGTGTGTGTGTGAGAGAGAGAGAGAGAGAGAGAGAAATGGGCGGCCTGCCGGGCCCATCCATCCCCGCCTGTCGAGCTCCTGTTGTCAGGAGTTCGGAGCTGGCAATTCTCTGCCGTATTTAGTAGCACTGGGGAGGCGGCCCGGCCAGGGTTTCCCCGCGGTGTTTGTGCTGGGGGAAGGGCCCTGGGTGCCTCTGAAACACTCCTCGGCTGCCAGGAAGCCCCGCCCTGCCGGGTCCCTTCCTTCCTGCCCCCCCCAGCCGGGGCAGAGTGGGGTGACTCTGAGCTGGCCTCTCCTCCTGCCGTGCCTGGCTGCCAGGGAGGGGAAGCACAGGACCCGAGGCCTGGACGGCTTCCTGGAAGAGATTGCTTGCCTCTTCTGCTTCTTGGGAATTCCCACGATCTCCTTTGCAACCCAACACCCGAGCCAGCCCCGTGCCTAGCGTCCCACCAGCTGGCCAGCTGTTCACCTCTTGCCTCGCGCGGGCTGCGCCGTCTCTGGGCCCATCTGCGAAGTGGGGGTAGGTCGGCGATTCTGGAACCGGCTCACCGCCCGGTCCCACAGCGGCACGGACTCTGGGCCTGTCCTCGAGTTTCCGATCCAGTCGGTGGGTCCCAAACGTGCATTTCTAACAAGTCCCGGGCTGGTGCCGACTCCACCAGGTGGGGACACACTTGGAGAGCTTTTGGGGCCAGGTAACACCTGGGGTGTTGTGAGGATGAGGCCCCGGTGCTTGGCATAGAGGCGCTGGCCTCGCAACACCGGCAGCTCTTCCCGATTCTCCCTACACGAGCTCCGTGCCCATTTGCTTTGTCTCCGGGAGGCCCCACAGCTGGAGGCGGCGTGGCCCTTGATCCCGGCGCCTCCCCCAGGTGGTCTCTGGAAGGGGATGGCTTTGATGAACCATTTGGGCCCAGGTGCCCGGGAGGGAACTGCCTGCCCACCCCTCCTCCCCCGTTTGGCTCCCTGCTTGGCTTCTGTGTCAGGTCAGCCCTGCCCACTCTCACACCACCCACCCCTCGGCGTGCGGGCCGGCTGGTCTGAGGTCTGGGGGTGCCTGTCGGGCTGGACCGGAGGTTTTTGTCCTGCGCTTCTCGTGCTTCCTGGAGGGAGGCCCTAAGTCAGGCAGCTGCGGGCCTGGCTCTCCCCGGAGCTGGTGACCTTGGGCGCGTCTCCCGGGAAAGCGACAGCGATGTGTGCCGAAAGGGGTGTTGGGAGGATTAAGTGCGATGGCGGGGGCCGGCCCAGCTTGGAGGCCTCACACTGGTCGGCCTCCATTCCGATGTGGCCGGAGGGAGTGGAGGCCGTAGGGAGTGGAGGCTGGCTGCCTTCCAGCTCCTCCCCCACCGGCCACCCCGAGCACGTGGCCCAGCCTCCGGGCGGACGGGAGGCTCCTGCGGGGAGGGCGGGGAGCCGTGTCCTTCCTCCTCCTGGGGTTTGAGTCCGGAGGGCGGCCTGCCCCCCTGCTCTATGGCCATTCGTGACTTGGGGGGAGGAGGGTCGTCCCACAACCCCCCACTGGAGTATAAGTTACCCAAGGTCAGGAGGTCACCGCAGGCAGCCAGGACGGGCTTCCAGGTGTCTTGACTAACAGCCAGCGCCTGTGTCCGCGGCACCCCCTTGCCCCAGCTGTCTGGGTTATTTTGGGCTCCCTCCTGTGCCAGCTGTCTGCTGGCATCACTCTGGGAGCCGGGAGAGCAGTCTGGTGGAAAGCAATCCGCGCGGTGCACTCGGCTCCCTCTGGCCCCCGTGCCTCTCCGGCCCCGGATTCGCCGGTCCGGTCCGTCTGGTCCTCCGCCCCGGGCAGGGGTGCACCCCACCCGCCTGCACCCGGCTCTCCCCGGGCTCTTGGTGAAAGCAGACGGACCTCTTCCCTCCCTCGGACCTCTGGTTTCCATTCAGCCCAGCTCCGTCCCTGAGGAGTCCACTCCACTCTCAGTCCTCCCCCAGGGGCGCTCCGGTGTGGGGTCTTCACCTGTGAGGCCTCGGATTGTTTATGGGTTTGAACCCTCCCCCGAGGGAGGGCCACAGCCAGTTCTTCCACTCCCGCCCTGGGACCAATTAGGGAGCAATTAGGCGCTAACCTGTGGTCTGGGTGTGATTCTTGGAAGGGAGAGGTGTCCCCATGACCCGGAAGGATCCTCTCCCGGACACCTTCCCCCTGCTTCCATTTCTCCTCGGCCATTGCACGCTTTCTGTGTTCCCGCCCCCCCCCACCCCCAGCGCCTCCTGTCATTGCTCCGCGCCCAGAGGACGGCCCGTCCCCGGTCACCCAGGGGGCAAAGGGCGGCCGCTGGCGGCGGAGGCCGGGAGGCCGCCAGACCTGCCTTACTCCCGGCCCCACTGCTGGGAGCCCCGAGTGGACTCTGACCGTTTGGACCCTCTGGGTGGAGGCGACCGCGTGGACTGTGGAGAGAGTCCCATTTCAAGGCCATCTGGGTCCGCTGCTGCCTCCAGCTGGCCTGTGCCCTTGGCAGGTCCCTGCTCCGCGGGGACCAGGGGTCTCCCCCAGTGAGCCAGGAGGAGGAAGTGGGCGGGTAACCCTTTGAGCCGCTTCTGAGTCTCGGGAGGTTTTCTGGGGGGCATTTGGTATGGCAGTGACTCTCCAGGGCACCCCGGGCCACCGCCCGTCTCTGGGACCTCAGAGAATAGTTGTGTCTGTGAGGGCTCCATGTTTTCAGCCTCAGGTGGAGTGGATGGCCCCTCTGGATTTTCTGAGGCACCAGGGAAGTAGGCCCCATGGGCACGTCAGTAACCATCCTGCCCTGTGCTGGCCGAGTGAGTTCGCCCCACAGGTGCCACCTGTCCAGCTCCCCTTGGATGGAGTCTGTGGCAAGGACCAGTTAAAAGTATCTTTCTTGTCTTCCTACACCTCTCCAGGAATTCCTGGTGAATAAGAGAAGAATGACATGGGTCCCCAGAACATCTCCCAGGTAAGGAAGCAGGGCCCCCCGGCTTGTGCGAGTGCCCAGCTCAGCTGGCCTGCCCTGGCCCTGCCACCTCGGAGGAAGCCTGCACAGCTGGCCTGGCTGCTGGGTATTTTTAGCTTCAGATCCAGCCCCTACACCACCCTGGAGCTGGGTCCAAATCAAACATGCTCCATGCTGGCTGGGGCTGGGTTCTGCCAGCCTCTTGGCCAGGCAGGGGTGGGTGGGCGGGCGGGCGGGCAGGCAGGCGGGCTGGGGCCAGTGTCAGCTGTTCTGCCTGGACCCAGACGGGGCTGGACAGACTCTCCCTTCCTCTCCCCTTCCTCTCAGTCTTGTGTACGTTGTGTGTTCTGTCATAAGTTAAAATTGCAGCCCCGTTTCTCAGATGGAAAGTGGAAACTGAGGAGTGAGGATTTTGAGGACAGTCGGGAGCCCTCCCACAGGCCTGTTTGCTAAGAGTGGGGTGACCTTTCTACGGGAATGCTCCCCCAGCCGCTCCCAGATGAAAGAGCATTCCCCCCCCTCTGACTCTCCCAGGCCCTCCTCCCTACACTTAGGGTCCTTGCTTTAGGGTCACTGCTGCAGCAGGCCTGAGATGAGAAGGTTGCAAAGATATGTGGTTCTCCTTCCTTCAAAACCTCCTTCCATCCTCCCCTGCCTCCTGTGGGCCTTTCTGACATGTGTCTGGACCCGGTCTGTTCTGCCAACTTCAGGCTGCCTCACCAGCCAGTCATAGCTCCTCTGAAGAGAGCCTGAGTGTCCAGCTTTGGCTGGGCCAGTTCAGGAGCCTTCTGTCCAGCGCCCCCTGCTTGAGCCTGACAGCTAGGCCCTCTGTGGGCTCACCCTGGTAACCTTGACAACAGCGTCTGGCCTCCATCCTCACTCCCCAGCCACTGCCAAACCTGCTGAGGTTTTCCAGCCACCGTGTATCTGCCCAGGCTGGGTACCCATCTGGCCTGCCCTCCCAACACTGCCAAGCTTAGTTCATGTACCAGCCAGCTCTCAACCTCCTCTGAGCTCCTTACAGGTGGTAACACAATTCCCCTCAATAAACTTGTATTGAAAAAAAAAAAAAATGAATGAGTTGCTGTAAATTTTTCTGAGGGTGCTTGACCCAGCTGATGCCACCAACAAACTGAAACAGCTTTCACTTGCCTGCTCTTCCCAGCTCTGGCTCTTGGGGTTTCCACGGGCGGTCACTGCTGCCCTCTGGTGGTCAGACCCTGCCTTGCATCCGCTGGGGGAAAAAACCGACCCTGCCTTTATGCAACTGCCAGGTTGGCAATTTCCTGCCTGAAGTAAAGTTTACCTCATCTTTGCTCAGACCTTGAAAGTTGGTAATCTTCAGGGTGGGGTAAGGGCAAGACGATCCTGAGTCCTGCCAGCCCCTCTTGGAGGAAGCTCCCAGAGGTCCTACCCCAGCTGGGAAGGCCCTGCTTGTTCCCTTGGCCATGCCCCTAACCTGCCTGCCACTCAATGGCTCCAGGGGTCCCCTGCCGCTCCTGCCAGCCCGCCTGGCTTGTAAAGAGAAAGTCAGCCCAGGGTCGCAGGGAGGGACGGGATGGAGGACAGGTGATATAGCAGCTACCCACCCCACAGTACCTGCACCTGGGGAAGAGCTCAACAAACAGCTGTTTTGGCCAGGGGGTGGGAGGATTGGGAAGAGTCCTCGGGATGAAAGACGCGTGGCTGCTGGCTGCAAAACAAATTTCTGGGTGGAGGTAGAGGTTACCGGTCTCAAAGGATCCTGGCCTTCCTCGACAGTGTCCGGCTTGGCTAATGCCTCCAGCCCCTGCTTGCTAGAAAGAGGTCCCCGCCCACGTAATGAGGGCACCTGTCGCCCAAGTTCAGGCGGTCGCCCGGCAGAGGGCGCCCGAAGTCTACTTTGCGCCCCTAGGGAGGTGGGGGGGAACCACTCTTCCCCACCGCCATCCCGCGTCCACACCGGAGACACAGCTCCCGTGCCAGCATCTCCCCTGGCACCACCGACCTGCCTCCTGTGGGGAAACAGCCTGAGGCGGGCCTGCCCCAGGCCGCTCACCTGGAGCCAAAGCCTGGAACCAAGGCTCCACAAACCGGGGTGCTGGGGCGTGGGGGCGACCCGCCAATCAAGGAGACCCTGTCCGTGCCGGCCAAAGAGTTCCTGACAGAAGGCGGAGCCTGCCAATTAAGGGGGGGGGTTCCCCCCCCAGGAGAAGCGGCGGAAACGATGGGGTGTTGGCGGTGGGGGGCGCGCCGCGAGGAGCTGGGGAACGGGCAGGAGCTGCGCTTGCGGCCGAGCCTCCCGCTTCTCGGCTTCCCGGCGCAGGAAGGGCGAATGCCCCGAGCTCGTACCCTCGCCGGAAGGAAACTGAGGCCGCAGGGTCGGCCCGGGCGGCTGCCTGACGGAGGCGGTGCCGATGGGGGCGGGGCTTATCATGACCACGCCCCGTTCCCTGGCCACACCCCCTCCGCGAGCTGAGCCCCGGCGCTCAGCCCCGCGCGCCGCCGCCAGTACCGCCGGCTCCGGGCCATGGACGCCCCGGCCCCCGCCGCCCCGGGCCCGGGGAGGAAGGAGCTGAAGATCGTGATCGTGGGCGACGGCGGCTGCGGCAAGACCTCGCTGCTCATGGTGTACAGCCAGGGCTCCTTCCCCGAGGTGCGGCCCGCGGGGGGTGGGGAAGGGGCGGCGCGCGGGGGTCCCTCCTGGGGGCGAGGGGCGGCCCTCCGCCTGCACCCGAGCCTGGGCCCTCGGTCCCCTGGGTCCTGCGCGCCCAGAGGCGGCTGCCACCCCGGGGCGCCCCCTCGGGAATTCCAGCGCCTAGCGGGGTGCGTATGGGGGGATTAAGGGGGGTTGAGCCGGATGGGGTGAAGGTGGGAGGTGGGGACCCCTCCACCTCGCCGCTCTTGCTAAGGATCAGCCCTCCCCCTTCTCCCTCCGACAGCGCTACGCCCCATCCGTGTTCGAGAAGTACACGGCCAGCGTCACGGTGGGCAACAAGGAGGTGATCCTGAACCTCTACGACACGGCCGGTGAGTGCGCCTGCGCGCCCAGGGGCCGAGGGTCCGGGCATCCCCGCCGCATTCCCGGCCGCGAGGCCCTGGCAGACCATCACCCCTGGAGGCCGCGGGGCGGTGCTCACCGCCTGGCCGGGGGGCCAGGGGCCCGGGTGGGGGTGCTGGTGGCATAGAGGACCCCAGTCGGGGCCCCGTCTGTATGTTTAAGGAGAGTATTTGGGCGAGATGAGCTCCTGGCCAGCACTCAGCACTGATGCTCTGAGAGCCCACGGCTTCCTTCCTCTCCTGTTTCTAGAACATCCCGGGTGCTACCTGCTGTGGGCTCCTAAGGCTCTGTGGGCTGCACGTTTGGGTGCACTGGGGCTGGGCTGCCCTGGGCTGCATCTCAGGGTCCTGTGCTTCCAGAATATTCTGGGCTGCAGATGAGAGCCTGTGGCTCCAGGGTCCCATGGACCCAGGTTTTGACTCCCACGCTTCTGCTTCTGGGGTTCTGGGTTCTCCTCTGTGGAGCCTTCTAGGATTCTGTGCCTTCCCGGTTCCCTGGAAGGAACCGGGCGCCAGGGAGCGTGGGGGTGAGGTTCTGTCACCTGCAGCTCCTCCTGGGTTTGTGCCGCCCGCCTCCCTCCCTCCCCATCGGAGGCCTGCTGCTGGGGGATGGGCGGGAGGAGCAGAGGGATTGAATGGCGCTGTTTGGGGAGGGGGGGGTGCCTGCCCTCAGGGAGTTTCCCTCTTTGCCTCTGGACTGAGTAAAACATGGGGGAGCAAAGGTCAGGAGTGCCAGCCTCTGTGAGTCAGTGCTTAGTGAGGTGCGAGGAGCCCCGTCATCAGGTGCCCCCTCCCCGAGGAAGTCTGGTGTGTGTGCGCGGTGCCTTCCCGGCTGGCTGGCCTCGGATGGAGCCAAAACCCGGAGCTGCCTCCCTTGCCAAGCTGCCAGCAGCGTCTCTCGTTCCACCGGGACCTGGAGGATAGGGCCGGCTGACCCAGCCCCAGCCCTCTCCTGGGTTCTGGTATCCCCCCCCCTACCCCCCCTGGATAAGGACCTCCCCACCTTGTGGGATGAGGGCCCCGCGGGGCTGCCCCCAGAATGAGGATGTGCTTCGGAGGAATTCCCAGGGGTGTGGCCGCAAAGAGCAGTGAAGACCACATGGTCTGGGACACTTGCTTCACAGGTTTCCCCGCAGTGGGTGGGGCGCTGGTGGGACGGCAGAGTCCAGGGGAGCGTGTCTGTCCTCCCGCCTGCCCTCAGGCGTCACCTCTCGGCTTCCCCACCGCCTTCCCTATGCCCGGCGCCGGGGCCCGGCTGGTCTCGGTGGCCGTGGCCAGAGGAGGATGCTCAGGGCACTCGGCAGGGCGGGCTGTCGCGGGCAGGCCCCGGGGAGCTTCTGGTGGCCTTGAGAAAGGATCTGCTCTGATCCTTCGTGAGGGAGGGCCGGGGGGCGGGGGGGGGAGCGGCGCCCGGCTCTCAGAGCGGCTGGGGGGCCTGACCTTTGCTGCGAGCAGCACCGGGGCCGCCAGCCTCGCCTGCCTGCAGCCCCGACACCCGGAGACAGGAAGCTGCGGCGAGGTCTGACGTTTCCTGGGCCGGGGAGGGGGAAGCGGGGGCGAGGTTGGAGGTGAAGACACCAACCGGAGACCGAGCTGTCCGGGCCTCAGGCTGGGGCGTCACGAGATGGGGTGGGGGGACTGCCCGGGAGGTGGGGAGCCTGAGATGGAACCCCAGGGAAGGTGTGGGGTGGACGGGGAATCAGGCACAGAGGGGAGCTGCAGCGGCGGGTCCTCGGGCCCGTTTCTCGGCCGCGGGTGGTGCTGCCTGGGCCCCGGCTGCTCTGGTCTCTGGGGAGGACGTGCAGGTGGCAGGCACAGGAGCACTAGTGAGAGAGGGTTCCCTTTCAGCAGCTTCCCCTTCTCGTGCTGCCTGCAGCCACCGGCCAACGCCCTGGCGGGAGCCGGGACCCACCTGCCCCGTGGGTGTCCTCCAGCCGATCCGGGGACCACGGAGGCCCGGTGACTCCCTCTGCCTCCATCCAGCGCACGCCCGAGACCCCTACCCAGAAAGCCCCGCCAGGCCACAGCCACACTCCCGCCCACAGAGGAAGCACCCTCTCGTGAGCCTCACTTCCTCCCTGCCCCACGGGCCTTTCCCCGCCTGAAACCACCACCTCCTTTCGCACAAAACTCGCCCCCCCCCCCTTTTTTTTTTTTTTAACATCTGAAGCCCATCTGCGGAGGCCAGAGGGGGACACCTGTGTGCCCGCAGACAGGCGACTTGGCCCCTGTAAGCCTTGGCGTTACCGGGGGGAAATGGGGAGGGGAGTGCCGTGTTGTGGGTGGTGGGTCTTAAAGAGCCAGGGTTAGAACCCATTCCTCTCTCCCTCTCACCCCGCGCCCTCCCCCCCCCCAGGACCCTGCTTCTATTTCGGGAGTAACAGTTCTCACCTTTGCCCAGCATGGTCCAGCCTACAAGTCCTTTACTTTCAGCATCAGGGGCAGCATTACCACCCCCTTTTCCAGACAAGGAAACTGAGGCCGGGAGAGGGAAGGTGCCAAAGCCACGGAACAGGGGTCTGTGGGCGGCCTGGCCCTCCTGACTCATACGGGAGGTGTCTGTCGGGGACACCTGCCCCACCCAAAGAACGGGAGGGCAAAGTCTGTCCCCTGCGGAGTGGAGGCCCACTCCGAGTCCTGGGGAAAGCCGAGCAGGGCACAGCTAAGCCAGGAAGGCAGCCTGGAGGAGGAGGAGGAGGAGGAGCTGGGAGCGGGGCTGGCCGCCCCTCCCCTCCCAGAATCCCTCTCTCCCTGATTTTCCTGTGCGGGGAGCTCTCACCTCCCCTGGTCAGGGCTGGGGTTTGTCGGGTGAGGCCGGCTCCCTATCCTTTGGGGAAGGAGTGAGCGGGAGGCGCCCCAACAGTCCTCCCCGTGGTCTTCTGCGTTTCAGTCTCAGTTTCTGTGTCTGTGAAACGGGGTAGCAACAGCCCTGCCTTGTAGGATCCTGGTGAGGCATGATGAGTCAATGCAGGTGAAGGGCTCTGGCCTAGAGGACCATTGTTGTTATTATTGTCAACAAGGCTCGCTGCTTCTCGCACGTCCATTTCACAGATGAGGAGACTGAGGTCCAGAGCTCAGTTCCCTATTGGGAAAGCTGGAGAAGGCCTCCTGGGGGAACTGGTGCCGTTAGCAGGCAGCTGACCTTGGGCTTGGGGACTGAGGTGGTGCTCCAGCTCCCAGGGAGCCTGTCTCTGACCTTGAAACGTGCCCCCTCCGCCACGTGGTCTCCTAACAGGAAGAGCCCTCCCCGCAGGCTCACTTCCCGGGGTGGCTGCTTAAATGGGCAGAGGCCGTGGAAGCGCGGTGCCCTGGCAAACGTCTAAAGCCTTGGGGTCATCACTGCACTTCGCTCGCTCACTCACTCACTCACTCGTCCGTCTGCTCATTCATTCGCCACGGGACTGAGCGTAGCACAGGCAGAGAAGGCCCCAGTCCTGGGGGGGGTGGGGGGGGGTGGACAACGCAAACAAACAAAAACCCAGAAGGAAAAGGAAGCCACGAGGAAGGAGGCTGTTTCAGAGCGATTCTCTCGGAGGAGGGGACCCCTCTGCAGAGACCTGACGGAGAGGAGGGACCGGGCCGTCTGCTCCCTGGGGAAGAGCCTCCGGGGGAGGTGACAACCAGGGCAGCGTCTGGGGGGAGCCAGCTCGGCCTGACCTCCCCCCCAGCCCAGGGCCGTCCGACTGCTGCCCTCGTCCGCTGCCGGAACCCTCCCAGCGCACCTCGGCCCTGGTCTCCACCTCCACAAGGTGAACAGCTCCAGCCAGCCAGCACTGCCTGGGCAGCCGGGCACCGGGAACTAGTATTTAAGGACAGACGTGGGCCCTGCCCTCGGGGCGCCTCCAGTCCACGGGTAGACGGGCAGTGCCCAGCACACACACACACACACACACACACACACACACACGGGGACAGGTGTGCACACAGGGCGGTGCACTGGGCTCCAGGCGGGATGAAGAGACGAGGGGACAGCAGGCTCCGTTTTGCCACTGGGCCGTCCCAGCCGGGCGTCTGCGAGGGCGGGAGCGAGCGTGTCTGCACCACAATTACAAGCCGCCTCATGCATGGTGGGGGCCCGGGACGTACGTCTGCACAGAAGCGGGAAAGCGTGTCGCCGCGTTTTTTGCGGAAGGAACGCTGGATTTGGGGTTGCAGGAGCCGGGGCGGGGTCCTGGCTCGGTCACGGACACAGTGACCAGGGGTAGGCTAGTGCCTTCACTTCCCTGAACCTCAGCTTCTTCCTGTATCGGTGGGAATGCTCCCGAGTTCCCTGACTAGCTCGCCAGGTGATTTTGCTGTCAGTTTGTCTTAATCCTGTACCGTAGAAGCACCCCGAAAAGTGCATAAGTAAGGTATTGGGGGGGGGGGGGTGTTACGTGGAAGCAGAGAGAAGGCGAAAGGAAATAATGTGGACAGACAGTCCGAGTGCTTGAAACGAAACGCTGGAAAGAAGACGGGGAGAAGACGAGGGAAAAGCGCTCCAGGAACGGGGAACAGGCCCGAGGGTTTCAGAGGCGGCCGCCCCGGCTGGACCTCAGGGAGAGAGGGGTGTGGAGGAGGGAGAGGAGGCCGGGGCCAGGGGGACCCAGGTCACGGGACCACAGGAGAAGCTTGGGTTTCATTAAAGGGCCACAGGGAGCCACTGCAGGTGTTTCCGTTGGGAGAAGGCAGGTCTTGGTGTTTAAGATCCACCCAGCGGCCGCGTGGAGCACAGGGCGCATTGAGGGGCGGCAGGGAGGGCAGGGGGGGTGCCGGGATGAGGACGGAGCCGTGCTGTGCACTAGAACATTCTGTGGTGACAGAAATGCTCTGTGCCTACCTACGCTGTCTGTTACAGAAGCCACTGGCCCCGAGCGGCAGTCCATCCCTTGAAATGTAGCTAGTGGGATGGAGAACCTGCATTTTTTATGTTAAAGAGCCCCCGGGGGCTAGAAGCTACCCTGTGGGACAGCAGAGATCTAGTCAGACATGCACAGAGGTTAGACGTGGGGCCAGTTTGGGACAGAGAGGGGCAGGCATGGGCCGGCTAGCACGCTGGGCCGGCTCTCCGTCGTCGTCCGCAGATTTATCCAGCTCCGTGGCTCTCCGTCGTCGTCCACGGATTTATCCAGCTCCGTGGCTCTCCGTCGTCGTCCGCGGATTTATCCAGCTCTGTGGCGGTGGGCACAGGAGGGTCTGAGTGCTCCGGCCCTGCCCACCCCCTGCCCACCCCTCGCCCCTCCCCCAGTGTTGGGGGTTTCGGCTGAGTGACAGCACGGACAGTCCTTCTGGCCCTGCCGTCCTGACTGTGGCAGCCATTCCCTGCACAGCGGAGCGAGTGGGTGGGGAGCGGGTCGCTGTGCCCTGTGGTCAGTGGGCGTCCTGCTCAGTGGAGAGGCCACTTGTCTGGAGGGCCGTGGGCTGGAGGGAGGGGCTGCGGGGACTCCCGGGCCGGGCTGGGCCGGGCCTCCGAGTCCTGGCCAGTGGGAGGAGGTCACCTCACCTCGTGCAGAGGGAGGCTGGGGGCTGCCGGTGAGCCCGAGGCCTCAGCCCGCACTGCGAGCGTTTTCCCAGATGCTGGTGTGACAGCGGCTGCAGGGCGCACAGGCAGACCTGCCTCTGGGCCCGGGAGGAAGTACGGGGGGGCGGGGCATCTGGTGACAGGAGCATGGCCAGTGGATTGGCTAGAGCCGTGGTTGGCAAACTGCAGCTCAAGAGCCACATGTGGCTCTTGGGCCCCTTGAGTGTGGCTCTTCCACAAAATACCACGGCCCGGGCGAGTCTATTTTGAAGAAGTGGCGTTGGAAGAAGTTTAAGAAATTTGGCTCTCCAAAGAAATCTCAGTCGTTGTGCTGTTATTTGGCTCTGGGGACTGACGAGTTTGCCGACCACCGGGCTGGAGCGCGGCTTCGCCGGGTTTGGCAGCCGCAGGGCCCAGCGGAGCGTCCTCAGAAAGCCCGCAGGAGACCCACTACCTCCGGGCGCGGGCGCGGGAGCCCAGCGTGCGCCTGCCCCTCGCGGGGGTCAGGTGTCTCCGTGGAGACAGCCCAGCGGGGCCCCATGTGAACAGTGCGTCTGAGTAAGGGCCTTTTTGCGCTGCTATTTTGTAATTTTTCTGTTTTAAATATACATAAAAATTAAAAAAACAAAAACAAAAAACCGCTTAACCAAAAGGTTACAGTTCAGTTCTGGTTGGGGCACATGCCCAGGTTGCCAGCTCGATCCCCAGTGTGAGGTATGCAGGAGGCAGCCCATCAGTGACTCTCATCATTGATGTTTCTCTCTCTCTCTCTCTCTCTCTCCCTTCCTCTATTAAATAAGTAAAAATAGCCGAAACCGTTTTTGGCTCAGTGGTAGAGCGTCGGTCTGCGGACTGAAAGGTCCCGGGTTCGATTCCGGTCAAGGGCATGTACATCGGTTGCGGGCACATTCCCAGTAGGAGGGTGTGCAAGAGACAGCTGGTCGATGTTTCTCTCTCATCGACGTTTCTAGCTCTCTATCCCTCCCTCCTCCTCTCTGTAAAAAATAAAATAAAATGTTTTATAAAAAAAAAATTAAAAAAGTAAAAATATGTTAAACAAACAAAAAACCCACTGCTGCTCCAGTCCAGCCTTGGGGTGAGTCTGCTGTGCCTGGCGGGAGGGTGGAGGGGGTGGGAGGGAGGGGGCAGGTGTCCAGGTGAGAAGCTTGCTGTTATCTCCCCTCTTCCCAGCCCCGGCCAGAGCGGCAGATGAATTTCACCTGAGGCCGGGCCTCGGGGGCACCCTCCTCTAGCTTTATTTCCGGAGAGGGTGATGTGAGAGGGTGATGTGACGTCAGCCCGGGCCAGGGCAGGGGGGGTAAGGTGGCTGGGAGGGGGGTGACACTGCTCGCGACTCTTCAGCACTCACCTCGGCCGGGCCCAGCTCTGGGCACTGCTGCACCCTCTCTCCGGTCGTCCCCGCTGCCGTCCGGACAGCGGGCGGCCACCTGCTCCACAGAACAAACTGGAGCCCACGCAGGTGTCACTTGCCCGGCCCCTCCGAGCCCAGAGCCTCCCTGACGCTCCCCGTCCTCCGGTCGGTTTCAGGGCAGGAAGACTACGACCGGCTGCGGCCCCTGTCCTACCAGAACACCCACCTGGTGCTCATCTGCTACGACGTCATGAACCCCACCAGCTACGACAACGTCCTCATCAAGGTGAGGGAGGCCTGCCTCCCGGGGTGGGGGTGGGGGGCCTCGGCCCCAGCCCCGGCCCCAGCCCTGACGCCCAGCCTCCCCCCCAACAGTGGTTCCCCGAGGTCACGCACTTCTGCCGGGGGACCCCCATGGTGCTCATTGGCTGCAAGACGGACCTGAGGAAGGACAAGGAGCAGCTGCGGAAGCTGCGGGCGGCCCACCTGGAGCCCATCACCTACACGCAGGTGAGCTCGGGCCCTCCCTCCACTCCCCTCTCCTCCTCCTCCCCCACCAGGAGCCCCGCCCGGCACAGCTGTGGCTAGAGACGCCCAGGCCTGGGGCCTCTGCAGCGGGGTGCCTCAGTGGCCTTGCGCACAGTGGGAGCAAACGGGATGCTAAGGGTAACAGCTGTACAATATGGATAGCCCACACGTCCGAGCACTTTATTTAATCCTGTAACCCAGAGGCAGATACCGTCAGTGTTCCCCATTTTATGGGGGAGATAAATTGAGACCCAGAGAGGTTAAGGAGCTTGCCCAGGGTCACACAGCTAACCTGAAGTGAGGCTGGGGTGCCCTCCCAGTCACTGTGTCTCCAGAGTCCTGTCCCATCTGCTGAGGGACCCCAGGGGCGGACCCTTGCTCGAAAGCAGCCTTCCCCTCCTCAGGGCGGCCCGGGGCTGCCCGAGGCACTGGAGCAGGGGTCTTCAAACTACGGAGGAGTCTGATCCAGCCCGCCAGGTTTTTTGGGCAGTGAGCGCAGCCGAGGTGTTACAGTAGGAATTAGTAGTTCATATAGTCCGGCCCTCCAGCTCTCTGAGGGACTGTGATCTGGCCCCCACTTTAAAAAGTTTGAGGACCCCTGCACTGGAGGATGGAGGGAACAGGAAGCGAACCTAATGAGGTTTCATAGAAGGGAATCGGCATGAATAAAAGGAAATGCTTTAGAAATTGACATTTTTTATTCTGAGGACAAGCTCCGCTGCCTGAATGGTGCTTTCCAGAGGGAGAGGGGTCTGGGGAGGGAGCCACTCTCCTCACAGGCCCCGCAGACACAGCAGACAAGCCGTCCTCAGGATTCACCCCAGCGTCTGCCCGAGGTGGGAGGGCGGGAGGAGCAAGAGGGGCCCCACCCCAAGGCCCCGCAGCCCCTACAGCCAGCCCCAAGCCCACCAGGGGGTGTCAGGAGGCGCCCCGCGCCCAGGCCCAGCATCTAATGCCGTTCCCCTCCCCCAGGGCCTGAGCACCTGCCAGCAGATGCAGGCCGCCCTCTACCTGGAATGTTCCGCCAAGTTCCGGGAGAACGTGGAGGACGTCTTCCGAGAGGCGGCCAAGGTGGCCCTCAGCGCCCTGAAGAAGGCGCAGCGGCAGAAACGGCCCCGGCGCTGCCTGCTGCTCTGAGCCCCTCCCCGGGGCCCTCGGCCCTCAGGACAGCACTGACAGCCCGGCCCCGCCTGCTCCCGGGTCCTGCCGGCCCCGGCTCACCGAGGGCACTTGGAGTTGTGTCTGGAGCCTGTGGCAAGACCCTGTGGATGGCCCGGAACTTTCTCCTTTCCCAGCTGGGACTGTGACTGGGAGCTCGGAGCTGGGGCGTGCGTGGTGGGGGCGAGCGTGCTGGACTCCGTCCCTCGGCGCCCGGAACGGGCATTGGTCCCAGGACGCAGGCGTGCCCTCTGCACTCTCCCCCCGGCCACACGTGTCCCCCTTCACACACCCAGTAGGGCCTCAAAGCCTGAGCTCCAAACAGCCAGCTGCACTGGTCCGGGGGCGGCTGCGGGTCTGGCGTGCCTCGCGGCCCTGGGCTGGGGAGATAGGCAGGGCCGCATCCTCCCGCCTGCTTCCTGCCCGGAGCGCCGGGCCCGGCCGGGCCCAGGCCTATCAGGAGAACGCAGCCCCGGACACGGACACGGGAATTGCATCCCCCCACCCCCCCACGCTGAGGGCTTCAGCAGCAGCCTCTGGCCTGGCCAACATCTTCCCAGATCTGGGAGCACATGACCAGGGGAGAAGACTCAGAAAGCAGAGCAAACACCGTGGACCACCCGTCCGACCCCTGCTCGGGGTCTCCTCACCCACAGCCCCCACTGCCAGAAGTGCCAGGTGAAGTGCCAGCAGCTCCTGCTCTGGGGCAGGCCAGTCCTGAGGCCGGGCCCCTGTCTGCAGGACAGCCCAGCCCAAGGGGAGTCCTCTAGCGCCCCCTGCCCCTCACAGCCACCACGGCTGCCGGGATGGCCTCCTTCAAGATCGGACTTGACTGACCGACCCTCCAGCCGCAGATTCACGGAACTTCCTTCTGGAAGACCCAGGAATTTTTTTTTAAAGTGCCCCAGGGGATTCCAATGCCAGAGACTGACAGCTGCTTGGTTCTGAGCTCAGTCTGGAGCCAGCGCTCCCGAAGGTGGGGTGATGGCTTCAGGTGGCCCCTGCTCCCCAGGCACCACCTGACCCGTGTCCCGTCCCAGTGCTGTGGCCACCAAGCCGAGCTTCTCCGAAGTCACCTGCCGGGGAAAGACCTCTAAGCCAGCCCACCGCACCCACCTGGCTTCCCCGAGGCCCCGCCACGGGGACTCACCAGGCCCTCTGGTTCCAGCAGAGTCCAGGGCCTTGCAGACAAAGGAGGGTCTAGAACGGAGGTCAGCAAACGACGGCCTGTGAGCCCAATCCGGCCGCTGTGTGTTTTTGTAAATAAAGTTTTATTGGAACATAGTCATGCCCATTCATTGATGCGAGGGCTGCTTCTGCCCCACAGCTGCGGGCTCACATCACTGTGACAGAGACCGTCGGGCCCTTCACAGGGAAAGGCTGCTGACGGGAGTCTAGGGCAAACCCAAGTTCTTACAGGGCCAGACGGGGCAGCGGGGGGAGGGGAGGAGGGCGGGGAGAGGAGGGAGTGGTGGGGTCTGCAGCAAACTAGGAAGCAAGCACCACTCCGGGCAGGCGGCCAGCCAGGTGCGTGCTGTTCTGTGGGAATGCTGCCAGGTCTTTCCATTTACTTAGGGAAAGTCACGATCAGGATTTTTATGTGGAGTCTTCCTGGGGGTGGATTCCATTTTTTAAAAGTGTAACTAATTTAAAAAATTTTAACCCCCCGAGGGCCACAGCATGGCCGTGGACACCAGCTATGAGCTCTGGTCGAAGAGGACCTGTAGGGAAGGCGTTAAGGGCGGAGGAGGCTCAGGTGTGGGGGAAGGGGCAGAAAATCCCACCGAACCCACTGGCTTCTTCACCCTCCCACCAACACAGACGCCACTGTGTGACCTCCGGAAGGTGAGGTTGCTCAGACACCCCCGCCTACACACACACACTCCCTGCTTCCAGAACCTCTGAATAAGGGAGGCAGAGGGAGGGTCGGGTGACATTAGTGCCGGCTGAAGTGTCAGCCGGCGCTGAGAGTCCTGGTCTCACTCTGAGTTCCCACGGCAAGAATTCCGGAAGGTGGGCTGAGGGCTGAGGGCCAGGAAGTGTCCAGGAACGCCCTCAAACCACCCAAATGGTGCAAGGCTGGGGCGCCCTCTGGTGGTGACTCAGAAACCCTTCCTGCCTTGGGCCCAGCTGCTCCAGGGACCAAGAACCCCAGGCCTCACTCAGGTGGGCGGGCCGTGTTCCCCACGCGGCCAGCAGTCAGGGGACTCAGGAAGCACAAAGAGCACAAGGCACAACAGCGGTTCTCTGAGAACTTAAATGCCCGCCCTGCAGAGGAGCGGAGGCTGGGAGGAGGTGGGAGCCAACAGCAGAAGCTTGTGCCTGGGGAGGGAGTCCCCCCAGGGACTGCCTTCCGCCCCCGCCTGAGACTCTACGTAACAGGTCACACGTCCGACCTCAGGAGGCATGTCCACACCCCACCGTGAGGGCTTCAAGTGCCAGGACTGGGACAGGGGGGCTCCCTGAGGCTCTGCCTCTCCCAGAAGACTTACCCAGTCCGGCCGAGAGCAGCGGGGGCCAAGGTTCTGGGGCGGCGGGAGGGCGCGGTGTTAAATACGTCATAAATAGGGAGGGGCGGCTAATACTGCTCGGACAGGCTGGGGTCACCTTCCCCGTGTCCAGTCGGGGACCTGGGCCTTGGCCTGCTCCCGGGGAGGCCCCTGGCCCCTGAGGTCACTGCGCCAGTGGCCACCGGCGCTGCTGAGGCGGCCTCCGCGGTGAGGCCCCCGCGGTCTCAAAGTCCGGGCTCGGGGGCCGGCCCGGGCTCACGGCGCCTTCACCTTGCTCCTGTTCTTCTGGAGCTTGGTGTGCACCACCTTGAGGGTGGTCAGGAAGTTGCCCAGGAAGAGGACCAGGAACGTGATCGCCAGCACAAACACCTGGCCGGAGGGAAGGAGGGACAGGCTGCACCAGCTCTCCCTGCTGGAGTGCCACCTGCCCAGACCGAGCCCTGGGCACAAGCCACCCCCAAGCCGCACGGCTGTGCAGGCGGAAGGCAGGCAGGCATCAGGGCCTCCGGGTGAAGGGGCTGAGCCGTGGGCTCAGGCCGGGCCGTGGGGAGTGTTCAGTGGGGAGCCGTCTCTGAGGGGCTCCCAGGCCTCCCAGGTTCCCCTCCAGCCCCCCACGGCCTCCTGGGCCCAGCAGCAGAGCCTGGGCCCCATGGAGAGCAGAGGGGGCCGTGGCTAAGGAAATAATTTCCCCCAGGACCCCTCACACACTCATACTTTCAAACACACTCACACTCACACACTCATACTCTCACACACACACACACACTCACACTCACACACACACACTCACACACACACACACACACTCATACACTCACACACACACACACACTCATACACTCACACACACACTCATACACTCACACACACACACACTCACTCATACACTCACACACACACACACTTCCCCAGGACACACCTCTCTCTCTCTCTCTCTCGCTCTCTCGCTCTCTCTCTCTCACACACACACTCACACACACACACACACTCACACACACACACACACACACACTCACACACACACACACTCACACACACACTCATACACTCACACACACTCACACACACTCATACACTCACACACACTCACACTCACACACACACACACACACACTCACACACACTCACACACACACACACACACACACACACACAGTCACCTCCCCCCATACCTGCCATTCTCGGCATTCCTCGTGGCGGGAGAGCTTGAAGAGCGTGACTGCGTTGTAGAGCTGCCAGAACTGTGGGCAGAGGGGGGCGGGGCCCTGCTCAGTCCGGTTCCCTGGACACCACGTGGGAAACCCCTGGGTGAGGGCCTGGCACCAGGACCCCAGCTTCTGGTAGCCACTGCCCTGAGACACTGAACCCCCCAAATGAAACCGGGGCACCCTAAGCCGGAGCAGCCTGAGGGCCAGTCCTGGGCCCTGCCTTTGGGCTCCTGGACCCAGGGCCTGCCATGGCCTGGGAACCCGGGAGGCCCAGCCCGGGGATGGCTGGTGAGCGGGGGAATGAGGGAGAGGCTGCGGACACTGTGCTCCCGGAGGTCAGCCCAGACAGAGGACACCCACACACGGCAGGGCACTCACGTGGCCAAAGAACAGGAACGGCAGGAGGAAGGAGAGGCCCCGCCACATCCAGGACTGGAACCCCTCTGCGGAGGAGGAAGGGGGCGGGGCCTGTGTGAGGGACCCGGCCGCCCCTCGGCCCCACCACGCGCCTGGCCGTGCTGGTCACCCCGGATCAGCGAGGCACAGATACACACGGCGCGGGGCCAGCCCTCAGCTTACAGGCGCGAACAATCACATGAAATCACCCAGAGAGCCTGACTCCTCAGCCTCCGGTCACCAAGGACAAGGAGGCTGGACCACACCATGGAACGCTGAGGTGCCAGGGACTGTGCTTTAAAAATGTGCTTCATTTGCACTTTATAGTGGACTTTTATTTTTATTTTTTAAATATATTTTACTGATTCTCTACAGAGAGAAAGGGAGAGGGACAGAGAGTTAGAAACATCGATGAGAGAGAAACATCGATCAGCTGCCTCCTGCACACTCCCTACTGGGTATGTGCCTGCAACCAAGGTACATGCCCTTGACCGGAATAGAACCTGGGACCCCTCAGTCCGCAGACCGACCCTCTATCCACTGAGCCAAACTGGTTTCGGCCAAAAACATATTTTAAAAAGTTGCACACACATTCTCAATGTGTATATATGTATGTATATGTTTTTATATTTATATGTAGACATATTACACATTGGTTATATATGTCCAACAGCACTAGGCTAATATATACATATATTTAATCATAAATCACAGGAAAGGAAAAAAAAGACATTTGAAGAGGCTAAGAGAGTAGCCAGCGCTGAGGGCGCACAGCTGGTCTCACACGTCACTGAAGCAGAATCCACAGCGCATTATGAAAAGCAGCTTGGGCAGAGGCCAGCGGCCCTGGCTGCATGTGTGGGAGGTGTGTGATGCCCTCACTGGCAGGTGCTCCCAGTGAGGGGGATGAGGGCCAGATCTGGGGGAGCAGGCAGGCCCAGCACTTGTCCCCCCGCCCCCCCGGCCGGCTACGCACCCACAGTGAGGTCCAAGTGGTTCCTCTCCCCCAGCGCCCGCAGCCGGTACAGGCAGCCCCTCTGGTAGTAATATTGCAGGAACTGGACGCAGCCTGCAGGGGGAGCACAGCGCGTGGAGGACGGAGTGACACTTCCACCGCAAAGGGGTGGGTCTTCAGGGCCCCGGAGGGTCCAACCTTCTCCCGCCCACACCCCTTCCTCCCCTTCCAGAACTTTCCTAGGTGTGCATTGGGCACTCAAAAGAGACTTGCACCGGGCTAGGAGCTGTGTGCGACGCCAGGTCAGCAAGAGAGAGCTCCGTACAATGGGATGCTTGTACGGAGGGGGCGGGGGAAAAGCCCATGGTAACTGTCTCCCAGGTTCTATGCAAAGCTGTATGCACAGAGGGAGCCGTGTCTGTGGGCTACCCATGATGCAGTACATACGCACATACGTCCTTGTGGGTAAAAATGGTAGAAAGGACACAGACCTTTCACCAGGGGTCACCCCTGGGGGCGGCACTGGACATGATGTTCATTCTCAGCTTTTTTTTTTTTTGTATTTGTTGGTAAGCAGGGTTTTATTTAAAAATTAAGTTGTGTTTTTCTGAGCTGGCACTATGCACACGGCATAAAACTCGAAGGGAACAAACAGGCCTACGGTGAGAAGTAAAACTCGCTCTCCCTGTCGCCAACCATCCAAGCTCCCCGAGCCCTGGGTCGGTGCATTGTACGTGAACCAGGGCTGTTCTTAAATGAGAAAAAAGAACTCTGTCTCCGTTTTTAAGGAAAACAAAGCCAGTGCCCAGCCCCAGCGGGTTCTCAGAGGTGGCAATTGGCCGGGGAAGGGAGGCAGGGACGGGTTCCAGGGGGCAATGGGGCAGGTGGTCCCTAGAGGCTGGGGTGGAGAGCGGGATGGAGCTGACCCGGGGCAGGTAGCTCCTTGGACTTCCAGGGACCTCCCCAGTGCCCGCCCCCTCCAGGAAAGACACAGCCCTGGGGGGGGGGGGGGCCTCCACAGGGAGCCCGCAGGGACCTGTGCCCCTCCCCCGAGTGCAGGCAGGAGACACTCACTCTGAAATATGGAAAACGCTAAAAACTGACTGCGGAACTTCTGGTAGATCAGTCCGTTAGGCCTGCAGAGAGGAGGCGGAGGAGGTGAGGGCGCTGGGAAATCAGACGTCCGCCCGCCCATCGTGTTCCCGCCGGGAGAGGTGGCTTTCCATTTAAACCCAAACCCCACTGTCTACGCCTCCTGCCACCGTGTCCCCAGGGGTCGAGTGTGGTTTTGAAGCCCAAGTTCCCACAGGTGTCCCCTCCCCTGGCCCCACTCCTCAGAGCCACAGCCTCGTCCGCCCAGCCTTGCCTCTGTCCCCTCTGTCCCAGCCCTGCCCCCGTCCCCTCTGCCCCAGCCTCACTCCTGTCCCCTCTGCCCCAGCCTCGCTCCTGTCCCCTCTCCCCCAGCCTTACCCCCGTCCCCTCTGCCCTAGCCTCATCCCGTCCCCTCTGCCCCAGCCCTGTCCCTGTCCCCTCTGCCCTAGCCTCATCCCGTCCCCTCTGCCCCAGCCTTAACCCCGTCCCCTCTGCCCTAGCCTCATCCCGTCCCCTCTGCCCCAGCCCTGCCCCCGTCCCCTCTGCCCCAGCCCTGTCCCCTCTGCCCCAGCCCTGCCCCCGTCCCCTGTGCCCCAGCCTCACCCCGTCCCCTCTGCCCCAGCCTCACCCCATCCCCTCTGCCCCAGCCCTGTCCCCGTCCCCTGTGCCCCAGCCTCACCCCGTCCCCTCTGCCCCAGCCTCACCCCATCCCCTCTGCCCCAGCCTCACCCCTGTCCCCTCTGCCCCAGCCCTGTCCCCGTCCCCTCTGTCCCAGCCCTGTCCCTGTCCCCTCTGCCCAGCCCTGTCCCTGTCCCCTCTGCCCAGCCCTGTCCCCTCTGCCCCAGCCCTGTCCCCATTCCCTCTGCCCCAGCCCTGCCCCCGTCCCCTCTGCCCCAGCCCTGTCCCCTCTGCCCCAGCCCTGACCCTGTCCCCTCTGCCCCAGCCCTGTCCCCCTCTCCTCTGCCCCAGCCCTGCCCCCCTCTCCTCTGCCCCAGCCCTGCCCCTGTCCACTCTGCCCCAGCCCTGTCCCCTGTCCCCTCTGCCCCAGCCCTGTCCCTGTCCCCTCTGCCCAGCCCTGCCCCTGTCCCCTCTGCCCCAGCCCTGTCCCTGTCCCCTCTGCCCAGCCCTGTCCCTGTCCCCTCTGCCCAGCCCTGCCCCCGTCCCCTCTGCCCCAGCCCTGCCCCCCTCTCCTCTGCCCCAGCCCTGCCCCTGTCCCCTCTGCCCCAGCCCTGTCCCTGTCCCCTCTGCCCAGCCCTGTCCCTGTCCCCTCTGCCCAGCCCTGTCCCTGTCCCCTCTGCCCAGCCCTGCCCCCGTCCCCTCTGCCCCAGCCCTGCCCCCCTCTCCTCTGCCCCAGCTGGCAGGCAGAGGGTACGTTACCAGCAAAACTCCCAAAGGGCTCCCTCCGCTGTAAGCTCACACTCTCCTCCTTGGCCCCAAAGTCAAGTCAGCCGAGGCCAGGGCCTTGGGAAGCCAGCCGGGCCCCTCCCCCACCACTAGTCCCCCTCCACAGCCCCCCCCCCACCCCGGGGAGGGCCGCCGGCAGCGTGGGGGCGGGCAGGGACACTCACCAGGTCAGCATCACTCCGGACAGGAAGGTGGACACATAGTGGTGCGACACCCACCAGCCTTTAATCCTCGGAGAGAACGAGAGAAGGGGACGCTCAGGCGGGGAGAGAACCGCAGGCCCCTCCAGCTCCCCGCCTGTGTGGGGGTGTGCTAGCCACCAAGGTACATGCCCTTGACTGGAATCAAACCTGGGACCCTTCAGTCCGCAGACCGACCGACCTTTCAGTCCACTGAGCCAACCGGTGTCGGCTAGACTTTCTTTTTAACTAAATCATCCCAGGCTGGCACCTACAGCCCTGTCGCTGGCTTCGTAAGCGCCACATGGCTTTTCAGGCCGTGGCTCTGCCCCAGTCCATGCGGCTGTTCCTCAGCGGTCACTGCCAGCCTCGGTGCTGCCAAGACGCCCCACGGAAGCCCCCGGTGTGATGGCACACCCTCACCAGCGCCTGAAACCAAACTTTAAAATGCCTGCCCGACTTATTAGGTAAAAGTCGGTGTGCCATTGAGATTTCCTTTTGCATTGTCCCAACAGGGGTTGAAGTGGCCTTAAAACCTCCCAACCAGAATGTAGACATAAGAGCAGGGACTCTCGGTCTGTGGACTGAAGGGTCCCAGGTTCGATTCCGGTCAGGGGCATGTACTTTGGTTGCGGGCACATCCCCTGTGGGGGGTGTGCAGGAGGCGGCTGGTTGATGCTTCTCTCTCATCGACGTTTCTAATTCTCTATCTCTCTCCCTTCCTCTCTGTAAAAAAATCAATAAAATATATATTTAAAAAAAAAAAAAAAAAAGAGCAAGGACTGGCTCTTCCTCACTCCTTCTTCTCTTTGCAGCCCCATCATAGTTCTGGGTGCAAATCGGGTGTTCAGACGATGGCCTGTGGGTCCCTCAAAGGTTAGTTATGGCGAAGGACAAGACTTTTTCCTTTATTCTTAGCATGAACAGCGCTAGGTAAACAGTAGGAACCAAATAAATGTTGAAATGCATGAAAGTGACGCCCAGGAGGTGCAGCTGGGGAAAGCCACAGCTGGTCTGGATGCCGCCAGCACAGAGGGGACAGGAGTTGGCTGCAGGAGCCAGGCGAGTTCCTGGGACACGATGTCCATTCGCGCCTCAGTCCCGCCTCCCCCTCTCCGTGTCCCTGCCTGGCCTGTCAGAGTCCAGGAGGCCCCGGGCACGGGTTTTCTGATAGGAAAGGCGGTTGGCCACACCCTCAGACCTTTAGCTTGAAGAGCACCGAGGGAGCCTCTCTGGAACCTTCCCAGCTCTCTGCCCAGCCACACACAGGTCCTTGGGTCCTGGCAGGCCCCGTGCTCCTCTGTCGCACTCTCCACCCTCTCCGGAGAAATGCCGTCTCTCCGCCTGGGAGGGGCCTGAGCAGACGCAGGCTCTGGGCGAGAAGCTGTGTGAGCAGCAGCTTCCCATGTCACAGCCTTTTCATTTCACCGCCCACAGCCCAGCGCTGACAGCCGCCACTCAGTGGACTGGGAGAGGCCAGAAGTCCTTCTCCCCTGGCCCCATCATCCACCCGCACAGCCCAGGGCTCTGGGCAGGTTTTGTGCCCGAGTGTGTTTGCAGAACACTTTCAGTGTGACACCGTTCATACCCATACAATGCACCCATTTAAAATATAGATTTGAAGTCCTGGCTGATTCGGCTCAATGGATAGAGCGTCGGCCTGTGGACTGAAGGGTCTCGGGTTCGATTCCGGCCAAGGGCACATGCCTGGGGTTGCTGGCTCGATTCCAAGTAAGGTGTGTGCAGAAGGTAGCCGGTCAATGATTCTTTCTCATCATTGATGTTTCTGTCTCTCTCTCTCTCTCTCTCTCTCTCTCTCTCTCTCTCTCTCCTCTCTCCCTTCCTCTCTGAAATCAATAAAACTATATTTTAAAAATAAGATAGAGATCCGAAGAGTGTGCTACTGTCCACAATCAGTTTTGGGACACGCTTGTCACCCCAGAAACAAACCTGCACCAGTAGCTGTCACTATCCGAGCCGATTTGGACGGAAAGGATGCCTGTGGGCTGGCGGGCTTTTCAGGAGCAGACAGCAGATGCCCCAGGAGGCACGGAGCACTCCTGCTGGAACGCAGGGACTCCAAGTCCTGGTGTCTGCGGACTGTGCCCAGGAGGGCCACAGCCCCTGGCAGGACACCTTGGCCACATCTGTGTGTGTGTGTGCAGAGGTTGCCGCAGCAGCCACTATTCTCCGGCAGGCCGTTTCTGTCATCGGGGCAGTTGGTGGAATGGCTTCCACATTGAGGACCCCTCCCTTGCCAGCTACTATGCCTTAAAAGCTTGTTAGAGCCAGGTGCCCAAGGGCTGGCTCGCCAGAAGAACGAATACGACCCCTGATTCATGATGTGTTCTGGCTCAGAACTAACTGCAGGAGGCATCTGCTGTTTTGCCTGTCTGTCAGTCACCCCCATTCCGGTGCCAGGCTTCAGCTTTCAGGAAACCAATTCACCGCCACTTCCAGTCTGGATGCTTGAGTGCAGCTGAGGAATATAACTGGGCACGTGACCCAGAGCCAGCCAATGAGGGCTCTGCACCACCCACCCCAAGCCACAGTGATTGGCTTAGGGATGAGCATGTGACCTGAGCCTAGCCAATCAGAAGTCTGGCTCAAGATTACAGCTAGATCTGCAGAGGAAAGGAACTCGGGTTGCTGATCCAATAGGATGCTGACCTCACTGCTGGGAACTAAGGAGAAGGAGGAGGGACTGTTAACATTGAACCCTTTTCACCTCCTTGAACTATTTGTATGCTCCCATAAATCCCCTTCATGTTTATCCTATCAGGTGGTTTTCAATCATTTGCAAATCTGCAAGGGAAGCTGATCTGCTTAATGCACTAACTCAGCTGATGAGTTACTTCTCACATGGGAGGCATCAGACACAAAGCAAGGTGGCTCCATCCTACCTCTCTCGGCCTGCCTCCCTGACCATGCCCCTAACTCAGGACTCAAGTGCCACGGGGAACAGGATGACAGAGGCTCAGTCACACCAAAACCGGGCACCACGTCTCCAGGAAGCCCGTATGGCTCAGCTCCACCTGTCCTAAGAACACGGTAAGGCCCTCAGGGCCCTGCCTCATCACAGAGCTGGGGTGGAATGCATTTCCACAAAGACCACGGGGCATTGACGGGGCAGCTACGCTGAGCGCCTGACTGACTCTGGGATGCTTCAGAGGTGAGAGGCAGAGCTCACCCACCTCCTCCTCACTGTGCTCTCTTAGCTACGGATTTCGTAGCTATTCCCTGGGTAGGGGACCAAGCGTGAGGGGGCAGTGGACCCACATGCAAAGCTGTGCATTACAAGCTCAGCGACAACACATCCTGCTGTCTCACATGTGTCAAACACAAGGCCCGCGGGCCAAATCCGTCCCGCCAGGCCTTGCAATGTGGCCCACACCGCGCTGTCATCACTGCACTCCGCTGCGTTTCCATCACAATGACAGTTTATGACTGTTCAGTAAACCATTCAGCCCGCAATTTAGGCTGGATTTTAGATTTTGGCCCCTTCTCTGATTGAGTTCGACACCCCTATGCTGTCCCATCAGAGCACGCGGTCCAGAGAAGCCCTGGGAAAGCCCCAGCTAAACGCGTCAGGCAAACATTTAGGCTTGGCTACGGAACCTCACTTCCTCCTTTTGTCCCCCCCTATTCTCCTGGTGTGCCCCACGCTTGCAGGGACCTCCCCTCAGTCCTGCTCCCACACATGGCTTATCCCGCCAGAAAAAGAGCTGACCAGAGTAACTTACTACAGTGTTAGTGACCGTCAGAGACACAGCATGCTCCGAACACTCTTACTAGGAGTCCGTCCCAGTCTGGAGGTGAGACTCCAAGCCTGACAGCTAGTACGAGGTCCAGGAAGATAATGAGTAACCAGGAAGTCCTGCCAAATGCCCTGGGCCATTTCCCCCCTACATGCTCCCCTGGCTCCCCTCCAACAGACCTAAAAGCAGAAAGCTACTCTTCACTACAATGAAGGCAAACTACAGATGTTACTTATTGGGTAAGATTTTCTACTCCAGTGTTTCCCAAAGCACGAGTTTTAGATGACATCTGAGTGTAACACTAAATCGAGCATGTCAAACGCATGCCTGCACTCGTCAGTGGTTCTCAACCTTTCTAATGCCTCGATCTTTTAACACAGTTCTTCATGTTGTGGTGACCCCCAAGCATAAAATTATTTTCGTCGCTACTTCATCACTGTAATTTTGATACTGTTATAATATCTGTGTTTTCCGATGGTCTTAGGTGACCCTGCTAGTGGTTCTCAACCTGTGTGTTGCATCCCACAGGCTGAGAACTGATGCTGTAGACGCAGGGGTCCTCAAACTTTTTAAAGTGGGGGCCAGATCACGGTCCCTCAGAGAGCTGGAGGGCCGGACTATATGAACTACTAATTCCTACTGTAACACCTTGGCTGCGCTCACTGCCCAAAAAACCTGGCGGGCCGGATCAGACTCCTCTGCGGGCCGCATGTGGCCCGCGGGCCGTAGTTTGAAGACGCCTACAGAGCCTATAATTTTATGGTTGGGGGTCACCACAACATGAGGAACTGTATTAAAGGGTCGTGGCATTAGGAAGGTTGAGAACCACTGCACTAGATGATACTGAGTGATATCTCTTTCCGTTCTCCTGATTAAGTCGAGGAGATGGTCTCGGTTAGATGCTCGTATATCTTTAATGCGTCTCAAGATCTGTTTGTCTCCCTTTCTACACATGAACACACACACATAAGAGAGACCACAGGCCTCAGGCCCAGAGCCTTCAATCAATTAGACAATGAAAACCAAAAAAAAATTTTTTATACTACTTCCTCTTTCCTGTAATTGATGCTGGTTTTCCATGTAAAGTGGTGGCATAAAGTTTCCTTTTAAAACAAATGTTTATTTAAGGAAAAACAAAACGAAAACGGAGAGACGGCTGATTTAGAATGTGGGGAAAGTGATGCCCTGACCGGCGTGGTTCAGTTGGTTGGGCGTCGTCGAGCGCACAGAACGGTTGCAGGTTCGATTCCTGGTCGGGGCACATGCCTGGGTTATGGGCTCGTGCAGGAGGCAGCTGAGGAATGTCCCACTCTCAGATTGTTGTTTCTCTCTCTCCCTCTCCCTTCCTCTCTCTTTAAAAAGCAATTTGAAAAAAAAATTCAAAAATGTAATAAAAAATAAAACGTGGGAAAATGATCATCTAGGTTCTAGGACCTAGATTCTATAATGATGATGCAAAGACATGGCAAACATGGCGCGGGCGGGGCAGGAATGAGTGCAGTTTGAGAAACACTGATGTTTCTAACAGGCTACACGCTACAGGGCTGGGTACTGAGGAACCGCCGTTCCTGTTCTTACCTCGTGGCTCTACGCTCAGGGGAAGCCCTGCTGAGAGACCACTGGGCAGAAACGTGAGAAGGTGGCAAATGACTTGAGGGCTTGGCAGGTGCCCCGAGTTAAATACCCGCTTCTGGCTGTGCTTCAGAGCCCCTGGGAGGGAGGAGGGGGGAGGGGGTGGAAAGTTGCTCCTTTGTGTTTTGAGAAACGATAGGGACAAGAATGGTGTGCAGAGGATCACATGGCCACCCCAAAAAGGAATCAGAACGATGGAAAAAAGGGTCCTGAAGGTGGAAGGCAAGCCATGGATCTCAACTGAGTCCTGAGACGCCTCTCCCTACGGGGACCATCACTCCTGACACCAGAATCCACTCATCTAGTGAGCTCATCCCAGTTTTCCTGTGGGGAACCAGTCCCTCCTGACACTCAGCTTCTAGGTTTCCAGTGACAGCTAGAGGGGTGGGCAGGAGGCTCAAGCCCAGCCAGTCACAGAAGCGCCGCATTCTCTGGCTGCAGTGATTGGTTCAGAGATGGGCACATGATCTAATGTACGCCAAGAGGACCCAGTGAGACACCTTGCAAGAGAGGAATGTGCCCTATTTTGCTGAGAATGCTAGAAATAAGGACGTGAGCTTGGAACTGATAACTCTACCTAGTACCTGAGAATAGACAACACAAGAAGGCAGAGGTGAGAGACAGAGAGAAAGTGGGTCCTGATGACATTGTGCACCTGGATTAAGCCTTACCTGGATTAAGCCTTACCAAAGACCCTGTTTTTTTCTCTTTTTTAATATATATTTTATTGATTTTTCACAGAGAGGAAGAGAGAGGGGTAGAGTTAGAAACATCGATCAGCTGCCTCCTGCACACCCCCCACTGGGGATGTGCCCGCAATTAAGGTACATGCCCTTGACCGGAATCGAACCTGGGACCTTTTAGTCCCCAGGCCGACGCTCTATCCACGGAGCCACACCGGATTCGGCAAGGGCCTGTTTCTTTCTTTTTTTAAAAAAAATATATTTTATTGATTTTATACAGAGAGGAAGGGAGAGAGATAGAGAGTCAGAAACATCGATGAGAGAGAGTCATCGATCAGCTGCCTCTTGCACACCCCCCACTGGGGATATGCCCGCAACCAAGGTACATGCCCCTGACTGGAATCGAACCCGGGACCCTTCAGTCCCCAAGCCGACACTCTATCCATTGAGCCAAACCGGTCCCGGCAGGGCCTGTTTCTTAATATGAGAGAATAATGTCCTGTTATACTGAGTTGGGGTTTCTTGTAGACCAGAGACTGACCATGGCGGGTGAGGCTGCTGCGGTGGCAGGCACGGTTTGCTCCTCCCCGGGTCTGAAATGTCGGCGATCCCCAAGGAGGAAGGGAAGGCCGCTGAGGGTAACAGCCCTCCCTGCCTCCCCTCATGACAGAGCGCCCTCTGGCTGCCCCTACGCCCCCCACAAAGCCAGGCCCCCAATTACCTCGAGCCGTTGCTGATGAGAATGCTCTCCCGAATCGTCAGGGTGCAGTAATACCACACGAGCAGGAAGTTAAAGACTTCGTCCGTGACCCTGGGAGAAACAGCCGCCGTGGGGAGCAGGCGTGAGGACCAGGGACGGCTGTCCCAGCCCCACTGCTGGGAACAGAGAAGCAGGCCCAGGGCTGCTCGCACCGGGTGCCTCCGGAACCCCCGGTGCCCGCCTCTGAGGTGTCTCTCCCCCTAGAATGCTCATCCCCCCATTCATTCCCACCTAATTCCTACCTGCCCTGGAGGCTCTAGCTGAGGTCTCTCTCCCGCCCTGATCACCCAGCCCACGGCAACCTGTCTCCCTTCCACAGAAGGGCCTGTGGGTGGGGCACCCAGCGAGGAAGTGATGCGAAGGGGGGCAAAGTAAGGAAAGAAACTCCTGCTCCCAGGATGCTCAGGATACTGGGCTGTGATCCTTCCCCTGTCTGCCCAGCGTAGCGGGAAATAGCAGGGGCAATAAGGCCTGCGTGTGTGCCAGGTTACATCTGGATGGATAGGTGTCCCTTGTCCAATCCTCACTTCCCTGCTGCCAGGGAGCTCCCGTTTTCCTCACTTAAAAAAAAAATATATATTTTATTGATTTTTTACAGATAGGAAAGGAGAAGGATAGAGAGTTAGAAACATCGATGAGAGAGAAACATCCATCAGCTGCCTCCTGCACATACTGGGGATGTGCCCGCAACCAAGGTACATGCCCTTGACCGGAATCAAACATGGGACCCTTCAGTGCATAGGCCAACGCTCTAGCCACTGAGCCAAACCAGTAAGGGCTCTTTCCCTTCTTTTAAAAATTATTTTTATTGGCCCAAACCAGTTTGGCTCAGTGGATAGAGCGTCAGTCTGTGGATTGGAAGGTCCCAGGTTCAATTCCGATCAAGGGCATGTACGTTGGTTGCGGCCACATCCCCGGTAGGGGGCGTGCAGGAGGCAGCTGGTCGATGTTTCTCTCTCATCGATGTTTCTAGCTTTCTATCCGATCCTCTCCCTTCCTCTCTGTAAAAAATCAATAAAATATATTTTTAAAAATAAAAATAAAAAATATTTTTATTGATTTCAGAGAGGAAGGGAGAGGGAGAGATAGAAACATCAATGATTGATTGGCTGCCTCCTGCATGCATCACACTGGGGATCCAGCCTGCAACCTGGGCACATGTCCTGACCGGGAATCAAACCGTGACCTCCTGGTTCACTGGTCGATGCTCAGCCACTGAGCCATGCCAGCCAGGCCTGTTATCCTCACTTTCTGTGAAGAAACCAAGGCAGGGCGAGGTTAAGTTATTCGTCAAAAGGTAAGCATCAGGACCTCAGAGTATGGCCTTATTCGGAAACAGGGTCCTTGTAAGTGTAATTAGTTCAGAGGTGGTCACACTGGGTCAGGGTGGGCTCTACATCCAACCACTGGTACCCTCCTAAGAAGGTCACGAGAGAGACTCAGAAAAACACGGGGAAGGAGGCCAAGAGGCAGAGAACGGAGTGGAACAGCTTTAAGCCACGAAACGGAACGCCAGAGGTGGCCGGCGACCACCAGGAGCTGGAAAAGCAAGGAAGCACTCCGCCTGCAGGGGGAGCCCGCTCCCGCCCACACCTCATTTCAGACTCTGGCCTCCAGGCAGGAGAATATCCGTGTCTGTGGTGAGGCACCAGCTTGTGGTGCTTGTTACGACACCCCTCGGAGAGGACGACAGAAAGGGGGTGGGGAGCGGCGGGAACATCCAGGCCCCGGTGAGCCTTGGAACTAACCGCACCGCACACTGCAGGTCTGACCTCGGAGGCCAGAGGTCCCAGCGCAGGAACCTGGCGGCTCACAGAGAACTTTCACCCCCTTCCAGGGGGGCATGTGAGCTGGCGCTACCGAGGGTGCAGCCTTTGCCCTCCAGGGAAACGGGCCAGGCCCGGGCGGCGGGCAGGCGTGGGGCCAGGGCCTAAACGGGCCTTTGTTTTGGACGTTCAAGTGGCCAGACGAGCAAATGGACTCCCAGCCAAGCGTCTGCTAGGAAATAAACCCTGAACACCTGGGCCAAATATGAGAAAATAACGTGCTTGGCCGCCCGCCTCCCCCGGGGCAGAAACCCAGGCCACACGGAGACATGAAACCCCCGGACGGTATGGCTTCAGCCCCTGGCCTTGTCCTCCAGGCACTGCTCAGGGTCTCGTGCTGGACCGAGCCCTCCATGTACCGTGTTCACACGCGAGAACCCTGTGCGGCCGGCACTGGGGTCACCCTCCTTGTACAGACGGAGAGATGGAGGCCCCCGGAGGGAACCTGCCTGTGGGAACAGCCGGTTAGTTTCAAAGCCACGAGCGAACCAAGGTTCTCTGTGATCTACTCCCTCTCTCTCTTTCCTTTCTTTTTTTAAAAAAAAAATGTATTTTATTGATTTTTTACAGAGAGGAAGGGAGAGAGATAGAGAGTTAGAAACGTCGATGAGAGAGAAACATCGACCAGCTGCCTCCTGCACACCCCCTACCGGGGATGTGCCCGCAACCAAGGTACACGCCCCCGACCAGAATCGAACCTGGGACCCTTAAGTCTGCAGACCGACGCTCTACCACTGAGCCAAACCGGTTTCGGCTTTCTTTTTGTTCCCTTCCTCTCTCTTTTTGCAATTGAGATACAATTCACATACCATAAAATTCACCCTTCTAAAGCATACATTTGGTGGTTTTTTTGTGTGTGTATTCACAACGTTGCACACCCATCACTACTACCTAATTCCAGAACATTCTTGTCACTCCCAAAGAAATCCATACCTATCTGCAGTCCCTTCCCAATCCCTTTACCCCCGCCAATACCTGGCATCCACTAATCTAGCTCAGTCTCTATGGATTTACCTGTTCTCAACACTTTACACAGATGGAATCACACACTATGTGTGACCTTTTGTGACCAGCTTCTTTCCCTTAACGTACAAATGGAGGTTTACAGTTTTCTTATGGAAAATCACATGGTCATTAATAAATAACAACACAAGAATAAACTCTGTGTTTCACATGCTCACAACTGTAAGCCCACGTTTGCCTCGCCCTGTGATGGTTTCCAGATTCATCTGCGCTATAGCCTGGGTCAGAACCTCATTTCCTTTCACAGCCAAACGCTATTCCATTGTGCGAACACGGCCAAACGGGGCTTTTTCCTGACTGCACACCAAGGCCTCTACAGCAGCCCGTTAGGAGATGTTATTGGAGGGACTACGGAGGACAGGACTGCTGTTTCTCATGAGAAATGGCCCTTCTTGCCGAAACCAGTTTGGCTCAGTGGATAGAGCTTCTGCCTGCGGACTGAGAGGTCCCGGGTTCGATTCCGGTCAAGGGCAGGTACCCCAGTAGGGGGTGTGCAAGAGGCAGCTGATCGATGATTCTCTCTCATCGATGTTTCTCACTCTCTCTCCCTTCCTCTCTGTAAAAAAATCAATAAAATATATTAAGAAAAAAGAAATGGCCCTTCTCTATCGACACCTCATCACACCAGCACTGTGGATGCAGGAGGGACCCTGGGTCCCTCTCTCAGGTCCCCTCTCACTCCCGCGTGTCCCCCAGCGCCACGCTGCGTTACCTGTAGTGAAGGACGAACTGGCAGGCCACAGCCCCCAGGAGCAGGATGATGGTCAGGTAGAGCTTGAACTTCTCATACTCGTCCTTGTAGGCAAATCTATGGCAACAGACATGCCCGGGAGAGGTCACGTGACTATCATGACATGGATGGTAGTATGACTACCTCCCATTGGGGGCAGGACCCTTGTCCCACTGGATCCGTGACACACTGCCAACCACTTCCCGTCAGGACCTTCTGATCCCACTGAAGGAGAGACTGGACCTTAAATGAATGGTGGCATCAGTTAGGGAGCCAGACAAGGTCCCCTCCCCCCCAAAGTGCCTCGGCTCCGCCCCCCTAGAAACTTGACAGCCTGTGGCTGGACACAACCGTCTGCTTCCCAGGAGGAGAGGGTCTGACGAGCCGTGAAATGGAGCAGAGCCGTTTCTCACGGGAAACTGGCAGTCCTGTCTGCCCGACATAGGGGACCCATGAAGGAAGCCTGTCCCAGGGGTCAGTCAGGGAGACCAGGAGCCAGAGCACCACCTATTAACGGTTTTCCCCTTTATGCAAACACCCACCCTGGTCCCATAACTCCCGAACTGAAAGCACGATGCCTGGGTTTTCTGCAAAGCCAGCTGGGCGTCGGGGACACTTACTTGGCCTGGTTGCTGAGGAGGGTCACGCTTACGTTGCCGAGGACCAGATTCAAGTAGAGCCTGGAAGGAGAGACCTGTGAAGTCGCCATGTCCCCTAAAAGCCCTGGGTGCAGCCCCAACCGAAAATACTCCAACGTAACGGGCACGCGTTGAAAAGCCAGCGCAGAACATACGGTGCTAAACTCAGCGGCACAGTGGGCCTCACTTCGAGTGCGAATAATGATTAACTAGAGAACAGGGGGGACTGTGACACATGACAGTCATGACTGACCCTCATATTTCCCAGCTTCCCTTGCAACTAATGTGACCGTGTGACTAAGCTCCAGCCAATGAGGTGAAGGTATATGTACAATAGCTAGGTCAATTTAAAGCAGATTCTTTTTTAAAAAATTAAGGCATAACCTTCAAAAGTACATCAGTCTTGCTCTGGCTGAGTAGCTCCATTGGTTAGAGCAGTGGTCAGCAAACCACGGCTCACGAGCCACATGCGGCTCTTTGGCCCCTTGAGTGTGGCTCGGCGATAGAACCACTTCTTCAAAAATAGACTCGCCCAGGCTAAAAACTGACTTCTGTGCATGGGCCACAAAGTTTCAGTCACACTGTATGTGCATGCTCACATGTGGTATTTTGTGAAAGAGCCACACTCAAGGGGCCAAAGAGCCGTATGTGGCTCTTGAGCCGCCGTTTGCCGACCACTGGGTTCGAGCATTGACCAGAGATGCCATGGGTGCAGGTTCAAAACCCATCAGGGCATATTTTTTTATAAGAATCAACCAATGAGCTCAGTGGATAGAGCAGCGTGGGCCTGCGGACTGGAGGGTCACAGGTTCAATTCCAGTCAAGGGCATGTACCGTGGTTGCCAGCACATCCCCGGTGGGAGGTCTGCAGGAGGCAGCTGGTTGATGTTTCTCTCTCATCAATGTTTCTAGCTCTCTATCTCTTTCCCTTCCTCTCTGTAAAAAAATCAATACAAAAATAAAATAAAATATATAAAAAGAATCAACCAATGAATGTATAAATAAGTGGAACAGCAAATTGGTGCTTCTTTCTCCCTCTCTCTAAAACTCAATTTTTTAAAAAAAGTGCACAAGTCTTAAGCATACAACATGATGGATTTTTACATATTTATGCATCCCTGCAACCAACACACAGCTCAAAGGAAAAAACACTTCCAGCCCCAGAAGGCTCCCTCCCGGCCCCTCCCAGTCAGTGCCTGACCTCAGTGCTCATGGAGGAAGCCTCCTTCTCTTCCCTGCCCTCACTTCTGCCTTCCCTTCGCCCCCACTGCAACCTCAGCCCTCACGGGAAGGTGACAATGATGCAGACCAGGTGTCCTAGGCCTGGGTGCTGCCCCGGTGGCAGGTGGGGAGTGGGGGGCGGGGTGAGTTCCCAGCTCCTACCCGTTCTTCTTGGGCAGGTAGGCCTCCATGTCAAAGAAGATGTTCTGCCGCTCCTTGATGGTGACATCTAACTGCTGGACCAGCTCCGCCTCCGCCACACTGGCCCGGCGCTTGTACCTGCGGACAGAGGTGTGGGCATGGGAGAAGCAGGGGGTTGGAGGAAGAAATCTGGAAGCTCTGGCCACTCCCCTCCCACTCTTCCTTCTCAATGTTTCTCTCAACCTCAGTCTCCACCTGCATTCCCTGGGACTGATGCAGGCTCCCTGCTAAGCCCTGTGACCTTGGGAATGTCTTTTAACCTCTGCCTTATTTTCTTTATCTAAAAAAATAGGAATAGCCGAAACCGGTTTGGCTGAGCGGTAGAGCATCGGTCTGCGGACTGAAAGGTCCCGGGTTCGATTCCGGTCAAGGGCATGTACGTTGGTTGCAAGAGGCAGCTGGTCGATGTTTCTCTCTCATCGATGTTTCTAGCTCTCTATCTATCTCCCTTCCTCTCTGTAAAAAAATAGGAATAATATCGAGCCTACCTTCTGGAAATGCCACTGCGACAAGTAAATGAGTAAGTGCGATTTAAAGCAGTGTGCACAGTGAAAACCTTCTAGCAATGTCATTCCTCTCACTCTTCTTTTTTTCCAAATGACTTTGATTTAATCCTGGGGAGTAAACTAAACGGAAAGCTTACAACAGAGAAGAACTATATGTCAATGTCTTTTGCAAACTAAGCTGGGACACGAAGGGACTGGGGCTCTGCTCGCTATCCTGATAGGGGTGTCGAACTCAATCAGAGAAGGGGCCAAAATCTAAAATCCAGCCTAAATCGCGGGCCGAATGGTTTACTGAACAGTCATAAACTGTCATTGTGATGGAAACACAGCGGAGTGCAGTGATGACAGCGCGGTGCGGGCCACATTGCAAGGCCTGGCGGGACGGATTTGGCCCGCGGGCCTTGTGTTTGACACATGTGCTGTAGGAATAAGCTGAAGATTACTGAGAGGGAGACAGGATGGCACTTTAAAAGAATAAGCAGCCCAGCCGGTGTGGCTCAGTGGTTGAGCTTCGACCTATGAATCAGGAGGTCACGGTTCGATTCCTGGTGAGGGCACATGCCCAGTTTTATGCTCAACCCCCCAGCGGGGCACGTGCAGGAGGCAGCCAATTAATGATTCTCTCTCATCATTGATGTTTCTAACTCTCTCTCCTTTTCCCTTCCTCTCTGAAGTCAATAAAAATATTTTTAAAAAATAAATAAAAAATAAGAAAAGTAAAAATATAAGCAGTTGGGGGGCTGGGTAGAGGTGGACAAAGGGTGGGGCAGGGGATGGGGACATCTGTAGCAGTGTCAACAATAAAAACAAAGTAAAAAAAGAAAATAGCATAAAGAGCAAATGAATCAAGGCCTAATTGTTGGTCTTTCAAGACTAGAGAAACATGTCGCAAACACTCCTGGAGCAGGGGTTGTCTTCCGTGTAAGAACCTAACTCAAGGGCCAACCTTCTGCCCAGTGGCTCTCGATGTCTGGGAACTTTTTGGTCTTCAAGACGGAGTGGAGGGTGTTACCAGCATCTGTGGGCAGAGGCCAGCAACGCTGCTAAACATTCTACCATGCACAGGACAGCCCCCGACAGCGAAGAACCATCATTAGTGCCAAGGCTGAAAAACCCTCGACGGATATAGAAGACTTAAGTCCTGCCATCGGTAAGATGTGTTTCTCCAAGAGTGGCGATGTCTCGGCATTAAACCATGTACACTTTACCCCACGACTAATGGGCCTCCGTTTACCAAATGGTCAGCTATTTGGGAATAATCGATATTACTTAATATCGATTATTCCCAAATAGCTGACCATTGGTATAATCAATAACCTTCCCAAAAACTGTCCACGAGGGAAGGGGAAAAGTGAGCCAGAACCACACACCCTGGAACAAAAGCCCATGAAAGTGACCTGGGACAAGCCATTCAGGGCCTCAGAGGCCTACTTGGCGGAGGGGTCACAGGATTCACTGGTCCTGTTCGCCTACGGGGGATGGGAGCACTTCCGAAACCAGAAAGACACAAGGACTGGAAACTGAACATGGAATCCTGGCCTCAGGAACTGACCGAAGTGATGAGCTCAAGTTTATCTCCACCAGGGATATCAGACCTCTTACCCCCTACATCAGACAGCCTGGTGGAGGGAGCCCCCGCGTGCCTGAGAAGTGTGGTTAATGTTTTCCTGCCCAGCAGGACTTCTTATAACAGTTTTCTTCTGTCATCCTCTTCCCAAGCTCATGTGGTTTAAGTAGGGCTGTCCATTCCCAAGGTCCATACACTGAGCATATGACCTAGTCTTGCCTAACTAGTCTAGGTGATTTGATTGGGTCAAAGATGGGCACGTGACCAATTCCAGCCAATGAGAACGGCTCCCAGGACTTGTGCTGAAAGACAATTCTCCTTAGGCTGGGGTGCCCAAGCCGGTAGGGAGAAAGGCTGCAGGGGATAAGCCTGGCACTGCTGGTTGGCCATCTCAGGGACCATGAGAGGATGGCCAGCCATAGAGCGAAGCCAATCTCAGGAAATGCAGAATTTAGAGGGGAAAAACAGATTCCTAAAAACAAACTTTGACCCCTGCTGGTTTTTTTCCATTTAACTTTCCATTCTAGGCCCGGCTGCCATGGCTCAGTGATTGAGTGTCAACCTATGAACCAGGAGGTCACAGTTCAATTCCTGGTCAGGGCACATGACCCAGTTGTGGGCTCAATCCCCAGTGTGGAGTGTGCAGGAGGCAGCCTGTCAACGATTGTCTCTCATCATTGATGTGTGTGTGTGTGTGTCTCTCTCTCTCCCTCTCCCTCTTTTCTGAAATCAATAAAAATATATTTGAAATTTTTTTCCATTCTCTACCCAAGCCAGCGCTGAGCTGGGTTTCGGACCCTGAGAACCAGGGGAGCTTTGAGTCGCAGCCCCGCCTACCTCTGGAGCGTGCGCTTCAGGTCCTTCAGGCGCGTCCTGTGCTTGCTGATGGAGCTGCTACATAGCGTCTGCAGCGAGGTCAGCTCCTCCAACTTCTGCCGGTAGATCCTGTGAGTTTCCTGAGGGATGGAGCAGCCGGGCAGGGCGCAAAAGAGAACAAACACCAACAGGTCATTTTCCATTGTTTGTGTCAGAGGACATGACTGCAGAGCTTACAATTTGACAGCTAGGACGATACAAGCACAACTACCCAATTTGTGGCTGAGGCCGAAACCGGTTCGGCTCAGTGGATAGAGCGACGGCCTGCAGACTGAAAGGTCCCAGGTTCGATTCCGGTCAAGGGCGTGTGCCTTGGTTGCGGGCACATCCACAGTGGGGGTTGTGCAGGAGGCAGCTGATCGATGTTTCTAACTCTCTACCCCTCTCCCTTCCTCTCTGTAAAAAATCAATAAATTATATATATTTTTTTAAATTGTGGCTTAGAAGACTGGGATTGGGGAAGGTGGCACAGCATAGCCCTGCGTATTAAGGAATTACTGTTGTGTTTTTTTCTTTCTTGCCCAGGTCCCTTCCTTCCTAATGGCAATAGCAACTATTGGGTCGGCAAGTAAGTAATTGCGGGTTTCACACATATATGGCTTCAGTTGAATTTTTAGGTTTGCAGACGTAGTAAAAATGTAAAACACATTTTGTTATTTGATAGTTGGCTATTCAGCTGTTAATCAGTAAAAAAAGTTTTTTGATCTGTTTTGTAGTTTTCGTTTGGCATTCGTTGAAAAATGGAAAATCAAAAGGAACATTTTCGTCATATTTTGATTTTTTATTTCCACAAAGGGAAAAACGCATCGCAAGCTCATAAAAAGTTATGTGCTGTTTATGGTGACGAAGCCTTAAAAGAACGGCAGTGTCAAAATTGGTTTGCCAAATTTCGTTCTGGTGATTTTTCACTCAAAGATGAAAAACGCTCTGGTCGTCCAGTTGAAGTTGATGACGCCCTAATCAAAGCAATAATCAATTCGGACTGTCACAGTACAACACGTGAGATTGCAGAGAAGCTTCATGTATCACATACATGCATTGAAAATCACTTAAAACAACTTGGCTATGTTCAAAAACTCGATACATGGGTTCCTCACGAACTGAAAGAATCACAGTTAACGCAACGCATTAGCAGCTGCGATTTGCTAAAGAAACATAATGAAAATGATCCATTTTTAAAACGACTGATAACTGGCGATGAAAAATGGGTTGTTTACAACAATATCAAGCGGAAAAGATCGTGGAGCAGGCCAGGTGAACCAACTCAAACAACATCAAAAGCTGATATTCATCAAAAGAAGGTTTTGTTATCAGTTTGGTGGGATTACAAAGGAATTGTCTACTTTGAACTCTTACCACCCAACCGAACGATCAATTCTGATGTCTACATTGAACAACTAATGAAATTAAACAATGCAGTTGAAGAAAAGCGGCCCAAATTGACAAATCGAAAAGGTGTTGTATTCCATCATGACAATGCAAGGCCACACACATCTTTGGTCACTCGGCAAAAATTAATGGAGCTTGGTTGGGATGTTTTGCCACATCCACCGTATAGTCCTGACCTTGCACCATCTGATTACTTTTTGTTTCGATCTTTACAAAACTCCTTGAATGGTAAAAATTTCAATAATGATGATGATGTCAAATCGTACCTGATTCAGTTTTTTGCTAATAAAAACCAGAAGTTTTTTGAACGTGGGATTATGATGCTGCCTGAAAGATGGCAAAAGGTCATTGATCAAAATGGGCAATACATTACAGAATAAAGTTATTTAGTTCCATGAAAAAATTGTCTTTGATTTTCTTTAAAAAATTCGCAATTACTTACTTGCCGACCCAATAGGTCTGACTTGGAAGGGCCACTTCTTGTCAATTCTTAGTTCAGATGGTTCCAGTACAGCTGACTGTTCTCATTCCAAGAGTAGTCGTGTGATCCAGGCCTGACCAATCAGTATCTTCCAACCCCTTGGCAACTGATTGGTTCAGAACACGGACACCAGGCTTAAATGGGCCAATGAGAGTCAGCCCTGGGACCCTGCTGGAGTACTGGTGTAGAGAAGCCCTCTTTAGTCCTGGGTTTGCTAATCTGGTAGCAGGTACACACCTGCAGGGGTTGCTGAGTGGGGAGAGGCTGCCGAAGAATAAAGCCAAACAGGAAAACAGACCTGAGACTCAGTAAGAGACGGAATTCTCCCAGCCTCATTCCAGCCCTTGGGTCACACCACGTCTGAGGGTGACGCTGTTCCATGCTCTCGGCTACATGAATTTATAAATCCCTTTTCAGTGAGGCCGGTAGGAGCTGGGTTTCTGATCCTGGCCATGAAGAGAATTCTTACCACATCAACTAAGGAAAGGTCATACCCCTTCCCTGAGAGCCAACCCTGCCCACCCCAGACACAGTCCCTCCAATTAAAATAGCCAGCCAGGGCCACAAGGCGGCTAGAAATATCAGAGACTTTGCCCCAAAGCCGGGAGAAAGGGACAAGGTAACTTCTCCTTCTCGGCATCGGGGCCCCCAGATAACGCCATATGCCGGGAAGCAAGCCCTCGCCCCTAATCTGATCATCTAAGACAAATAGTACAATTTGGAGAAACCCACGTGAGGGGCGGGAACTATGACATTAAATGCAATAATCCAATGAACACATCTAAAGTGGCTGTGTCCTTGAACGCATCTAAAGTGGCTAGAGGAGTCGGGACCGGTTTGGATAGAGCGTCGGCTTGGGGACTGAAGGGTCCCGGGTTCGATTCTTGTCAAGGACATGTACCTTGGTTGCGGGCATATCCCCAGTAGGGGGTGTGCAAGAGGCAGCTGATTGATGACTCTCTCTATCTCTCTCCCTTCCTCTCTGTACAAAATCAATAAAATATATTTTAAAAAAATAAAATAAAAATAAAGTGGCTGGAGAAGTGTATTTATTAGAGGGAGAGAAAAAGGAGATGGTCTGACAGTGGGACCGGAGCCTAATTCTCCTGCCTGCCAAGAAGGTCCCTAAATACGCAGGGTAAGCCAGGAGATAAGGGAGAAGTGAAGAAAATGAAGTGAGAAGATAGCAATTAGGGGCCACATAAGCACGCTTTGGCTCCCAGACAAGAGGGCTCAGTCCCTCGGATTCAAACAGTATCATAAGTTGCTCCTTGCTGGCCCCCCAGAGAGGAAAATCCTACCTCTAATAACTATCAATATTTATTTACTTATTTTTAAATACATTTTATTGATTTTTTAGAGAGGAAGCAAGAGGGATAGAGAGTTAGAAACATCAATGAGAGAGAATCATCGACCAGCTGCCTCCTGCACACCCCCTACTGGGGATATGCCCGCAACCAAGGTACATGCCCTTGACCGGAATCGAACCCGGGACCTTTCAGTCCACAGGCCAATGCCCTATCCACTGAGCCAAACCGGTTTCTGCTAACTTTTTAGTTTTAAATAATTTCAAACTTGCAGAAGAATTCTGAGAAGTGTAGAAAGAACTCCCTTCTACCCTTCACCCAGATTCACCAACTGTTAGCATTACACCATATTTCCATATTTGCTTTACGCAGCACCACCACCCTCACTGTGTGTGTGTGTGTGTGTGTGTGTGTGTGTGTGTTCTTTTTCAATATCAGGCATCAGGAATTTATAGGCCACAGACCAAATCCAGCCAAATCCAGATTTCTGTACAGGCAGTAAGCTAAAATGGTTTTTCCTTGGTTGACACAGAAGAATACTTTGTGACGTGAAAGTACACGAAATTTGAAATTTCAGTAGCCAGAATGGAGCCCAGCCACGCACGTTCATTTGCATATTGTCTAGAAACTACCACAGCAGAGTGAGTAGTTAAGACAGAGACCATATGGCCCTGAGGAGCCACGAGTCCTCACTACTTGGCTTTTGTGCCAAAAAAGTTTGCCTCCTCCTTTTCTTTTGTTTTTAAATATATATATATTTTATTGATTTTTTACAGAGAGGAAGGGAGAAGGATAGTTAGAAACACCGATGAGAGAGAAACAGCGGTCAGCTGCCTCCTGCACACACCCCACCAGGGATGTAAGGGCAACCGAAGTACATGCCCTTGACTGGAATCGAACCTGGGACCCCTCAGTCTGCAGTCCGACGCTCAGTCTATCCACTGAGCCAAACCGGTCAGGACAATGCCTCCTCCTCTTCTAACCATCTGGGAGTTAGCTACAGACAGACAACACGCCTCTTTGCTCCGCACTCCTTCATTGTGCATTTCCTAAGAAGGACGCCATTCTCTTACATCCTCAGTACAATGGTCAGAGACAGACAATGCGACCTGGACACCACACCATACCATGACCTCCCATCTTGCTAGCTGTCCACGGATGGCAACCTCCCCCCAGATCCCAGACCCGACTCGGTCTCCTGCCTTGTGCTGCTGCTTCCATCGCTAGCCTCCTTCGCTAGCGCAGCTAGACTCTGTCTTTCGTGACACCCACATTTTTTAAAGAACTGAGTCTCGTTTTGGGGAATGTCCCTCCGTCTGGATGGGTCTGTCGTCGTCTCTTCATGATTGGATCTGGGTGAAGCTGTTGGAGCCAGAATGTCACTCAAGTGACACCATGTCCTCTGTGTCTCCCATCCGGAGGGACACAGCGTCCGTGAGGTTAATGTTAACGGCTGAGAGGAGGGCGGGGCCCCCTGCCTGCCCCCTTGCACAGCGACCAGCTTTCTATCTGTAGTTAACAAGAAGCCAGCTGTAGAGAGACAGGCTGTATTTTAATCACTTTTGAATTCTTCAGTCCCAAAACAGCCATCCACTTACAACCAACACCTACTGTGGTCCAGTCAGGGGGTCTCCATGGGGAGGACAGGGGCAGAGACCCCCTGACTATAGTCCATCAAGAAGGTGGGGCCATGGGGCTGAGTGTCCGGCCAACACCGGCTGCGGTTCCTGGAAGATAAGAGCCATGTGACCTCCTTGGCACTCTTTGGGGTTGGGTGCCACCGCCGGGAGATAAGACCAAGACTCCAACATCAGCAGCCAGATGCTTACCAGGCCCTCTTCAGCTTGAATTAATATTTAATTTCGAAGTAAAATGTGAAAACATTGCCCTTATAAAACATTAA